GTCCATTTGATTCCTTCATACAAGCAGAAATTAAAGCTCTGTAAACCTGTGGTGAGGACATCAAAGCAGTGGAGCAGTGAAGCTGTGGGAGAACTAAAGGCGAGCGTAGACGGTACTGACTGGGATGTTTTCAGGTCTGCCACAAACAGTCTGGATGCGTACACAGAGGCTGTGACGTAATACATTGGCTTCTGCCAGGACTTGTGTGTAACGTCACGCACTACGGTGAGTTACAACAACGACAAGCCCTGGTTCACAGCTAAAGTCAGGCGGTTAAGGCAGAAAAAGGAGGAGGCATTCAGGTGCGCGGACAGGGAGAGTTTTAAAAAGGCTAAATACACCTTCAACAGGGCGCCGAGAGATGCCAAGCGTCTTTAGATTGTTCTCAGTTCTCAGATAGAGATGCTGGCTCAGTCTGGAAAGGACTCCGTCAGCTCACCAGCTACAAGCCTTAAAACTCCCCACTCTGCAAGTGACCTGCGTCTGGCCAACAACCTGAACGAGTTCTACTGTCGCTTTGAAAGACAATGGGACAGCCCGGAAACCAATGACTCCACAGCTCACCTCCCCCACCACAGCAGGGATTCAGGACACCTCAACGACTGTCCGCCCAAACAGCCCTCTCTCCCCACTCCCCAGCGACACCTCTTTCAGTCACTGAAAGAGATGTTAATAAGATCTTTAAGAGACAGAACCCCCCCGCAAAGCAGCTGGACCAGACTCTGTCTCTCCCTCCACCCTGAAGCACTGTGCTGATCAGCTGTCTCCAGCCTTTACAGACATTTTTAACAGCTCATTGAAGACATGCCATGTGCCAGCCTGCTTCAAGTCCTCCACCATCATCCCTGTCCCCGAAAAGCCAAGGACCATAGGACTTAATGACTTCAGACCCTTTGCCCTGACCTCTGTGGTGATGAAGTCTTTTGAGCGCCTTGTGCTCTCCCACCTCAAAGACATCACAGACCCTCTCCTGGACCCCCTGCAGTTCGCCTACAGAGCCAACAGGTCTGTGGAAGATGCTGTCAACCTGGCCCTCCGCCTCATCCTCAAGCATCTGGACTCAGCTGGTACCTACGCCAGGATCCTGTTTGTGGATTTCAGCTCTGCTTTCAATACAGTAATCCCAGCTCTGCTCCAGGACAAGCTCTCCCAGCTGAACGTGCCTGAGTCCACCTGCAGGTGGATCACAGACTTCCTGTCTGACAGGAGACAGCAGGTGAAGGTGGGGAAGAATGTCTCGGACAGCAGGACTGGCTCCCCTCAAGGCTGCATTCTTTCTCCTCTGCTCTTCTCCCTGTACACCAACAGCTGTGCAGTCATCAGTCTGTCAAGAGACAACACCACCCTCATTGGACTCATCTCTGGTGGGGATGAGTCTGCCTACAGGTGGGAGGCTGACCATCTGGTGACCTGTTGCGGCGAAAACAATCTAGAGCTTAACGCTGTGAAGACAGTAGTGATGGTTGTGGACTTTAGGAAAAAATGCAGCCGCCTCCAGCCCCATCACCATCGATGACTCCACGGTGTCTACTGTGGAGTCTTTCCGCTTCCTGGGGACCATCATCACTCAGGACCTCAAGTGGGAGCTGAACATCACCTCCCTCATCAAGAAAGGACATGCAGAGGATGTACTTCCTGCGGCAGCTGAAGAAGTTTAACCTGCCAAAGACCATGATGGTTCACTTCTACACTGCCATCATTGAGTCCATCCTCTCCTCCTTCATCACAGTCTGGTACGCTGCAGCCCCAGCAAAGGACAAGTGCAGGCTGCAGCGCATCATCCGCTCTGCTGAGAAGGTTATTGGCTGCTACCTGCCATCTCTCCACGACCTGTACACCTCCAGGACTCTGAGGCGTGCAGGTAAGATTGTGGCTGACCCCTCTCACCCCACACATGGACGGTTTGAGACTCTCCCCTCTGGCAAGAGGCTGCGGTCCATCATGACCAAAACCTCTCACCACAAGAACAGTTTCTTACCCTCTGCTGTCAGCCTGATAAACAATGTCCCTGCCCTCCCCCCACATAACCCAGACTCTCATCAGCCCCACAGTCAGTAAAACATCAAAGTAATGTGAATGCTGAACTGTTCTTTATGCGTTACATGAACGCCCACTGGACTTAAAAAGATTTTCTTCCTTACATGCACTCTGTGAGTAGTTACACATACTAAGATGTTTTCTCATAGTCCACTGCACAGCTCCTATACATTGCACCTTTTGTGTTTTTTATTTTTTATATTTTAATTGTTTTATTATATTTTATATATTGTAATAGCTTCTTATACTGTATTATTTAAGTTGTTGCTAGTTCTGCTTTATTTCCTTGTTAATTGTTTAGCACCAATACACCAAGTCAAATTCCTTGTGTGTAAATGTTCTTTGCAATAAACCCCCGATTCTGATTCTGAATGCAACTGTGCTCTGGAGAAGTGGCTCTACATGTGAAATGACCAGGTAAGCATAGGCCTGTGCTTACTGCTCTAAATGGTTCATAATATTCATGACACAGTAGGTCTGGTAACAAAAGCTGTGTTTTGAGTAATTGGTAGTAAATGATCTAATAAGGGGAATATTGGTGAAAGTCAGGTCAGCAGCACTATTTGTAGTGATAGATGTTGAAGTCGCAGTGTGAGTGGCACGTCTTCAGTACTTAGCACTGGAGCTCTCAAGCACTGGAGCACATGTAACTGAAGGTGCAGCTGTTGGTGTACATGGAGAAGAGCAGGGTGGCAGGATGTAGTCTTGAGGGGGGCCAGTGCTGATGGCCGTGCAGTCAGAAACATGTCTATGCAGCTTCACATGCTGCCTCGTGTCAGTCAAGAAGTCTAAGCTCCACCTGCCGACAGAGTCAGACATGTTTTGTTTTTCTTGCTTTTCAAGAAGGCCCAGCAGAGACTGGATTTCCTGAGAATACTCAGAAAAAACATCTTGGCTGTAAATGTGTTGGTGTCCTTCTATTGTTGCTCCACAGAGTCTGTGCTGAGCTACGGCATATCGCTGTGGTTCGCTAGTTGCTCTGTAACAGACAGGAAAGTGCTCCATAGGGTCATTAACAGCTGCCAAAAAAGCACTGGATGCCCTCTTCTCTCCCTTGAGGACATTTACAGATCGCACTGCTTCAGGAGAGCCCACAACATTCTCAGGGATTTGTCCCACCCAGGGCACAATCTTTTTGAACTGTTGCCCTCCGGGAGACGTTTTACAGCTATCAAATCAAAAACAAACAGACTTGAAAACAGTTTCTACCCAGCGTCGTTATGGCACTGGATGCTGCTCCAATGTGACTGCTTTTTGAGTGACTCTCTCACCTGTGCAATATCTCCCGAATGTGTAATACAAAAAGCAGTCACATTAGCTGGGAGGGCCAAAGCATTGATGATTGTATTGAAGGCACACGTTTATTGTGTTGTACTTGTTCGCTCAGTAGGTGAAATACAGGGGGATGCAGGAGAGGGTCCTTGATGCGTGCAGCACAAAGACCGGCTTTTAAAAATGTTTAGCAACAAAAGAGGTACTGCAAAGCTGAGGGGTCTGAAGTCATTAGGGTCCTGTGGTCCATGTACTTCTGGGGACAGGAATGGTCATGAAGCAGGCTGGCACATGACATGTCTCCAGTGAGCTGTGACAAGGAGGAGGAAGAAGAACGGGAACAAGAAAAACAATCAACATTATGTTGCATGCTCCATTATCTCTGAGCGATCTAAGATAATGGAACTCAAAGGTGCAGAACAAAGATAAAGCCTATATACATGTAAGATAACAGCCCATTTTTGTGTTTTTTCTCCATAGAAGCTTGCTATTTTGTAAAAAAAAAAAAAAAAAAAAAAGTTTAAATGACTGAACACTTCAAAGATGTTTAACCCTTTAACAGTAAACTGATAAGAACAGCCTTGTGTTTCAAAATCAGCCCTCCATTATTTAAATGACATTGGGTGATTGATGCTTCACTTGCACTATGAAATACATAAAATGCAATGCTGCCTCTGTGTGGTGTTGTGCTTTCATTACTCAACATTTGCTGTTGGGTCACCTGAGCATCGACTGTAAAGAGTCTTTACTGATGAGGACTGTATGCAAGGATGTTTGGTAATCCAAAGCATCACATCAGCATGCAATAGATCTGGTGGTGAGACGTGTTTGAATTTGAACATCTTTAAATTGTATTACAAGCAAATGGTGTAACACAATCTATCAAGTGCTGCAACAAATTCGAAAACTTCACATTTTCTAGGCTACTAAATTATCCTACAGGAAACGCTTTAGCTAAGGTTATTTTCATCAGATCAAAAGCCATTGAAAATAGTAAAAATCCTTATTTTTGTTGGCTAGCCTACATATTCTTATTATTTTTTTAACCTACCTTATTTCGTTTGCAACACCATTTATGAAACAAAATTTCGTCTTTCTCTGCGGTTTGTAATAAAGTGCAAAAGTAATTGGTAACTTCAAAGATGGATTCAGCGGCACAAGGCGGAAGCAGTCAAGTAAAGCCCAAGACAGTAAACACACTGAGCTGCGAGCTCAGCCTTCATGTTGTAGATGGGTGACGGCAAATGGTCCACACCACGTGGTTGTTATAAACAGCTGCATGGGACATAAAGACGCTTTGTACCGAGTGGAAATACAACACATCAAATAAATTAAATTAAATTAAATGTGTCATAGCTTTTAACGTGCTACCATGTGGAAATACATTTTAATAAATATATTATAGTTATGTATCAGCAAGTAAAAAAAAATATTCCACAGGCCTTTTGAATATTGTGTGTATTTATTAAAATATATTCATATGTAACACATATATTTAAAAGCTGACATAAACACGTTTGTCTTGCACAGTGATATATATATCTATACATATATAAACAGTATTTTTCATCATTTGTCTATGTAGGCGAGGCGTGGGCACGGGGGTAAATGTCCCTACCTGTAATTGGTGGAAAGGGTCATGTGGGCGAGGAGACGTGAACGCGCAGAGCAGAAGAGTAACGAGCGCGGCTTCGACTTCTCTGTCTTTCTTTTCCAATGTCCCACCGAGCAGGCTGAGCCACGTGTATCCACCAGCAAATTGAATCACTTGTCTTCAAACGTCCAGTTCGTCGTGTTTCATTGAAACACAGAAAGCAGCACCATGGTGAAGTTAGCAAAGGTAGGATTAAATTACGTGTGTTTTTATTTTATTTTATTATTATAAGGTGTGCGCGCGAAAGGTGCGTTTTTTTTTTTAAGCACGAGGCCTTTTGCTGAAGAAGTTGCTGCGTTTGTTTCGTGAAAACGGAACCGACGCTGCTGCTTAATGTCTTGCACAGGTTACGCAGCTCACTTTTTACAAGTACAACCTGCAATTTAACAGCGTAGTTTGACGATATAGCGTGGATGAAACGGAGCTCTTACGAGAGATTTAGATTTAAAGGGGGTTTCTTGTTGAAATGCGGTCGGCCATGTTTGTAGGTTGATTTTGGTTTTTTTTCGGCCTGCTAACTCTGATCGACTGCTCAAGATGGCATTCATGCGCGTCCTCGATTATATCATGGATTTTAGAGCTACAGGGATGAGTGGATTAAATGGCATGTGACATAAGCGTACCTACCATCGCCTGTATTTTAAGATTAAATGTTGAGGAAACCTGAAATGCGTTTTGAATGCACCCGAAAGTGTAGTTAGTAAATAGTTAGCATATACGCGGTGATTATTTCCCCATAGGTTACCCTTCGTACTTAGTCTTTTTTACACATTAATAGTTTAGTGTGTCCGTAATTTAACCTTTTTTTTTTAAATCTGATAATAATTATCTTTTTCACGCCTCTATTTTTGGCTGCCCCGCATGTGTTTTAATCGTCGTGTGCAAACGACTTAGCCAACATGCTAGCAGCCCTGCCTCCTGAGCTCCACGTGGGTTGCGCGCCTGCTATGAGTGACACACGAGGTGGACACGCAGAACCTCAGAGAACTTACTATCAAACACACATGCATCTTTAACTAGTTAGGAGTCGTGAATAACCCCTTAATGGATTGGATTTATGATTAAATGATCAGTTCTGGTGTTTTTTTTAAATCAAATACCTCATGGAGCACACCCCCACCTCTTAACAACAAACACGATTAAGAAGTATGTCTTGAGAATTGTACCTCTGGGTTTTAATTTGCAGATAAACCTTTTTGTGTAATGAAATTGATTTTCTGGCCCTTTTATTTGTTCTACAGGCAGCAAAATCGCCAGCAACTCAGAAGAAAAAAGCCCCTCCACCCCCGAAAGAAGTGGAGGAGGAATCAAGTGAAGAGGAAAGCAGTGAGGAAGAAGAGGTACAGTTTATTTGAGTGTTTCATAATCATGAAATATAGTTTTAACCAAGAAAAGTGTGTTTATTCATGTATGTAATTTTTTTTTTTTTTTTTTTTTACAGACCCCTCCCCCTAAAGTGGTGAAGAAAGGCAAAGCTGCCCCAGTCGTCAAAAATGGTGCTGCTGCCAAAAAAGCAGAAAGTGAGGATGATGACGATTCTGGTGAGAAATTATTTCTGCGTCCCTAATTTGTAGTTGTTAACGTTAATAAATGGAAAACATTTTAAGAATTGACACATGGTTACTGGAAACATAGATCCCTGACAGCAAAAAAAAAGTATCAAAGCTTTATTTTCGATAAGTCCCTTTTCTCCATTTAATTAAACACGATATACTGAACAGTAAGATGTAACCATTTCAACATTTTTGCATCTGCAGTGAAAATGTTTTTTCAGGTCCATGTTAACATTTAATTGTCCAGTTAGGTGTCCACATGTATGCATTTCTGTCTGTCTTGTACCAATCACATTACTTATCATGTGGTCAACGTTCCCTCCTCATGCTACGTTACACATGGTATAATTTTTAAGAATGATGGTCTTGGAAAAGGGCATAAGTGCATCTTTTGTGGGAAGCTGTCTTTGCCAAGTTACCGAAGTCCACAGTTTGGATGAAAATGCATGTTGACACATTTCGATTAATCCTTATTGTGGAGCAATATGTTGTCTTTTATGTTTTTTTTAATTGTTTGTTTTGTCAATCTACAGAGGAGGAGTCTGAGGAAGAGGCCCCCCCACCAAAAAAGACCCCCGCTAAAGCTAAACCCGCAGCCAAGGCTGAGGAGTCAGATGATGATGATGGTAAGATCACTTCACTAACAACAGAAAATGGGGATAATTGTGAAAGTAATGTTTTAATACCTGTCATTTGAAACACCCTCCATTTCTTGGCATACACGAGGTTGTTTAGTACTCATGTGTGTAATGTACGGAGGAAGACTAAATGCAGTGCTATGTCTTCGGTGCCGGTGTGTTTATCGTCTGCCGGTTCTATCCTCAATCGCTGTAACATTTAGGCTTTCAGTGACTGTTGTCTATTGCAGATTGATCCTTTAATTGATTAACATTTGCTCTTTGTTTATAAATCTGTTGTGCTTGGTCTAGATGAGTCTGAAGAAGAGGCCCAACCCCCCAAGAAAGGAGCCAAGCCTGCAGCAAAGGCCCCAGTGAAGGCTGCACCTGCAGAGGAGTCCTCTGAAGATGAGGAATCTGAAGAAGAGGCTCCACCTCCTAAAAAGGGTGCTCCAGCTAAACCAGCTGCAAAGGCAGCTAAAGAGGAATCTGATGATGAGGATGATGATGGTGAGACTAACCCTTCAATTACTATCATTAGAAAATGTTGTTAAACATTTCGGTGCTACCATTGGTTTGAAATGGTCAATAAAGAGATGCTGAGCAGTTAGCTACTTTTGTATATGATGATCAACAAGGGACTTAATACTGATTTTGTGTGATGTCACCTTTCAAACGATCTGATATAGATGAGTGGCAGCTCTCTGGTTTGAATGGGGTCACAACTCTTCATAACTATTTTCAATACGGTTTTTCTAAACAGAATCAGAGGAGGAGATGGACACAACACCTGCTCCAGCAAAGGCAAAGAAAGCAGGCATGGTGAAGGCCAAGGAGGAGTCTGAGGAGGAGGAGGAGGATGATGATGACGATGATGATGAGGAGGAGGATGAAGACGGTGAGTTAAAAGAACTTTGATATGCAAATCAATCTTGAATTTAGTTATTTTCCAATAAATCATGCACTACAGTGTCAAAGTCTATTACATGTTGTTTTGGTAAAGGCACACTAAAGTGAGTTTGCTGTTTTTAAAAGAATAGGAGACTATAATTGAGAATTAAATTATGTAAATTTGAGAATTGCTTGAGGTGGGAAACAATGCTATATTGATGAGGATCAGATGAAGGCTAATGGAAACCGGTGTGTGTATAATAGTCAATTATTGATGTTAATGCTTCACCTGTATTGTTGCATACCTGCCCTCACACTGCTGCATGACTGGTTCCATCATTAGACTCCCTAAACAATGCTCCTGTTTTTATAGAAGCCCCAGTGACTGCTACAAAAAGGAAGGCAGAGAGCAAGAAGGACACGCCTCCTGCAAAGAAGGCAAAGTCAGAGGGCGAAGGTAAGAATTTATACACAGAATCCCCCTATTTATATTTTAATCTTTATGACAAACAAGGGACTTAATACTGATGTGTGATGTCACCTTTATATTTCTCTGATTGTGTCTGAAAAAACTTGACCCAATGTTCCTGCCATGAATGCCTCTCAATGGAAATGTTTTGTCCCATTTACCAGGATTCTGTCTATTCATTGGAAACTTGAACTCCAACAAAGACTTTGATGAAATCAAAGAAGCCCTGAGGAAGTTCTTCACCAAGAACGACCTCGACGTTGCCGATGTCCGGTTAGGTGGATCCAAGTAAGTATTTCAATAGAAAATACTAAGCCCTCCTTCTTGCACTCCTTTGTTTAGTAAGGGGCAGTATTAAATCGGTTATCTTTAAATGCTATTGGCTTATTGTCAGTAAGTTTCAATTAACACATTATCTAGTAAATTGAGCACGTGTGATAGTGGACTTGATTGTATTTACAATGAATTGCTTCAAAAAACAAAATAGATCTGTAAATGCAACCTTAGATATTGGCTTTAAGCATGTTGGGGCTTTTCTGTCTAAAAGCAGGGATTTTTAATTGTTCTTACTTGCCCTGCCTCAACAGGAAGTTTGGCTATGTGGACTTTGCAACTGAGGAGGACATGCAGAAGGCTCTGGAGCTGAATGGCAAGAAGATCATGGGTCAGGAGGTCAAGTTAGACAGGGCCCGAAGCAAAGAAAACTCACAGGAGGGCAAGAAAGGTAAACATTGCTTCCATTAGGCTGCCTTGGTATGTGTCAGTGATTCTTGTCAGTAAGGTTCAACTACTGAAAACAGACCCTCCATTTCTTGGCATACACGAGGTTGTTAAGTACTCATGTGTGTAATGTACGGAGGAAGAGAAAATGCAGTGCTATGTCTTCGGTGCCGGTGTGTTTATTGTCTGCCGGTTCTATCCTCAATCGCTGTAACAATCTCATGTACGTGTTAAGGACAGAAAACTATCAATGGAACTTTGATTCTCTATTGATAGAACATAGCCCTGATACCTTTTACTAAAATTGCTTCTTTTTTTCCCCCCGACAGAGAGGGATGCACGCACACTGTTTGTAAAAAACCTTCCCTTCTCCGCCACTGTTGATGACCTGAAGGAAGTCTTTGAAGATGCAGTTGATGTCAGACTACCTCCAGGCCAGAATGGTTCAAACAGAGGGTAAGAAGTCAACATGACAATGTTTAGGAGGTTTTACAAGGAACAAAAAGGTTCCTGTCCTGGATAGTCTTGGATGGTGCAAGAAACTGACCTAACCAGTAGATTCTTTAGAGCATCCTTTGCTTTTAGTTCATTATACTATTATGTAGGTTATACATGCAGCAGTTGTGGTTGTCTGTTATATAATTGTACTATGTTTTTTTCCTTTGACAGCATTGCCTACATTGAATTCAAAAGTGAGGCTGAAGCAGAGAAGATGCTGGAGGAGGCTCAGGGAGCCGAAGTACAAGGGAGGTCCATCATGGTTGACTATGTTGGAGATAAGAGCCAGAAAGGCGCCAAGGTTGGAGGTAAGCTCTATGAACATGATGCAAAGCAACTGAATGAGACACCACCAGTGGAGGATGCTGTGAAATACTATTATTGTTGGATGGTCATTATGGCATAACTTTGGTATTGATTTATTTTTGTAAGGATGACTGAAGTGGCCCTGTAGAAATAATTTTGAGAGAAGGGCAATGATTGAGATGAGAGTGTATTATCCAGGACTAAAAACTTAGAAGTGTTGTCTTTGCTGCTTGATCACTGACATGAATTTGTTATTCATTGATGCATTTGGGTGTAGTCAACACTGATACTTGAAAGATGATGTTATTCAGATATTTACATTTCTTGTGAAAGTCATCAAGATGCTTAAGTACATATGTGACTACTTCTCCATCTTTGTATTCTCCTCTCATGTCTCCTTTAATTCCTCTCTGTGCAGCGTCTGCAGCAGCGTGTAAAACTCTGGTAGTGAATAATCTGGCCTTCAGTGCCACAGAGGAAGTCCTTCAATCCACATTTGAAAAGGCTGTCTCTATAAGGATCCCACAGAGAGATGGCAGACCTAAAGGGTAAATATCTGTTTGAAATGTATTGCTGGAGTTTGAAGGATGTAAAACTATCAATAGAATGGCTTAAAAAAAAAAGCTTCACCTTCTCATGAGCTCCTCTTAATCTTACCCATGATTCTGCATGGATTCGCACGAGAAGCAGAGCAAGTTCACAGTTAGAACGGGCTATCCCTGCACGCATATGGGGCCTGCCTATGTCTGCTGTGCAACAAGTATACAACCTGTAATTCAGAAATGACAAAATAGTTGGGAAGGACATTTTTTGGTGGGGAAGGTATATTTGGTTTTGTATTTGAGTTAAAAGTTTTACCACTAAATGCTGGTTGAACTGTACTCCCCAGATGTCTTCCCAGTCAATATTGTTTTCTTCTTCTCTAATTGTGATATTTTTTTCTTTTTAGTTTTGCTTTTGTAGAGTTTGAGAGCACAGATGATGCTAAAGACGCCCTGGAAAATCTCAACAACACAGACATCGAAGGCCGATCGATCCGACTGGAGTACAGTCAGAACAGTGGCGGCAGAGATGGAGGCAGAGGAAACTCAGGTCAGTAAAAACAGTATTGCACTTCAGTTTGTTAATATTGACAGAAAAGATGAAAGCATGACCTGAAACTCTGATGAAAATATCATCCTGATCTGGCCTCGTCAACATTCAGCTTGATGTAGTGATTATGTTGCCCAGATAAAAGCGAAGTTGGGGGATGAAATAAACATGCACAGTTGTGTTTATTAGTGCTTCTCTTTGCTACCAGGTCCAACAAAAACCCTCTTCGTCAAGGGTCTCTCTGAGGAAACGACCGACCAGACCCTTAGAGATGCATTTGAAGGTGCTGCAGCAGCCAGGATAGTCACAGACAGAGACACAGGCTCATCTAAAGGGTAAGTTTGAGTGGATGTTCTCTGTGACTGTGTTCTTCTCGTGAGCACCGCTCTGTCCAGCAGTGACAGTGTACGGATTCGCATGAGAAGTAGAGGAAACTCACAGTTAAACCGGCAGCTACCTTAGTGGTACTTGCCCATGTCTGATGTGAAACAGATTAAGAAATGATCCAAAATTGACAGTATGTATAGCAACAGTTCGTGTAATCTTTTGATTTAAACAAAACTGTAAGGCTTATTATAGTCATCTTAACCTATTTCCTGCCATCCCTATAGCTTTGGCTTTGTTGACTTTGACAACGAGGATGACTGCAAGGCAGCCAAGGAGGCCATGGACGACGGTGAGATCGATGGCTACAAGGTCACCCTGGACTACGCCAAGCCCAAGGGTGAAGGCGGCTTCCGGGGAGGCCGTGGTGGTGGAGGATTTGGTGGTGGATTTGGAGGACGTGGTGGCGGCGGCAGAGGAGGTCGCGGAGGTTTTGGCGGCGGCTTTGGAGGTGGTCGTGGTGGAGGCGGAAGAGGAAGGGGAGGTCCTCGTGGAGGAGGACGTGGACGTGGTGGCTTTGGAGGTAAAGGAAACACATTTTCTTAAAGGCATATAAAGTGTTCTCTCTCCAACTTGTAAACAGTAACTTGTCTCAATGACATTGGCAGCAGAAATATAGCATGTTGTTGCCCTTTCATAGAAAGCAAAGTGTTGTTGTTTTTTGTCATCCTTTGATTGATCTCGATGTAGACTGACTTTTGACTCTGCTAATTTCAGGTGGAAGAGGTGGCGGCGGAGGATTTGGCAAACCCCAGGGAAAGAAGATCAAGTTTGATGACTAAATACTTAGTCTGTTTTACTTTTTGAATGGACTCTGGTTTCATCACTTTTCAGAGCTTTTGGACATTCCAGAAAGCGTCATTGATATATATTTAACTGTAAACGGGCATTTTAGCCCTTTATGTAGACCCTTCAAACCTCCCTCACCCTCCTGTGCCAGACTGGTACTTCTGATCTTCTCAAGCTCAAGTGCTATATGTTAGCACTGAATGTCCCTGTTGCAAACCTGCACCTCTCGCCCTCTTTAGCTTACTTGCTTTTCCGAAGGAGTTAAATGGAATGGGTCTGGCAAACAAGTTTGCTGTGAAAAACCGGCTCGTCTTTGTCAGATGCATTGTGTAAATTTAAACAGTTTGTATGATTTTTCCATTTTACCTTTTGTAAAGAAAATACACTTGTATCCATATGTTTTTGTTTTTATTTTGTTTGTCGCTTAGTTTGCTTTAGGTGCCAAGTTTTACTGTAATGTGCAAAGCATATTTTGATAGAAGATTTGAGTCAGTGCTCTGGAGTTGGGTGTTTAAAAAAAATGGCAAAGATGTTCTGTCATGTTTGTTTGATGGGGCACAGTCAGTGTCTGAGTCACAGAGGATGAATTACCTCTTGTCTATGTAACATAAAATATTTGTAGTGCATTGACTAATTTTTTCCCATCTGAGAATCCCAAGATTTTCAAGTGAACAAATAAAATCTTGTAGGTGATGATTTTTAAATGTCTGTCCTCATTGCACATGACAGTATGAATGATTGATATCAGCAGGTTGCCCTATCATGAAATATTCCTGAATACGCACCAGTGTAACTTTTGAACACTTTACAAATACCTTAGTTTGCCGAGATGCTTCATTATGTAATGCATCTGATGCAATATGTATATCCATGTTCTACTAAGTTTAAGGAAGTGTTGCATGTTTTTGCCCGTAAGGAGACTGGTTGCTTGTTCAATTGTATTGCAATGTTTAAACAATGTCTTTGAATGTTCAACCTGCAGAAAATGAATACAAACCATATTGTTCATACACATTAATAATGTGAGTAGGTTTGAGCATGGTTATTTGTAAACTAACTGATTGAAATGTACCAGGCCTTTTTGAGGTTGGTGAGGACAAACTGCCCTTATCCACCAGGTGGCAGTGTTAGTCAGGTAGCCTCTTGGGCTTTCTAGTGAGTGCTGTCTGTATCTTAAACTGCAGTCAGAGGTTTTGTACATTGGTCTGAAAATTGTCTCCAAAGCTGTCAAGGACCTGAATCAGTTGAGAAAAGAATGCTTTTCTGTAATTCCAAGGCAAAAGCACACATCTGAATAGTCTGCTGTCAGCTCTTATAACTGGTTAAAAAAAAGGCTTTACATTTGATGCAATTGCAGTTCAGCTTGCATCCATAAGAACATGCGCTAAACTGTTGCACGACCCCTGATCCTCCTGTATGCTGTCTGTCACTGGCGAGGGGACTTGTTGAACAGTGATCCTGAGTGACTGTGTGTGCAGGTCTGTTGTCAGTGACACCACCAGACAGGACACAGCAGTCTGCTGTCATCCTGAACAGGGAGCTTTGTTCCTGGAGGTGCCAGGGTGGGAGGCACTGATGATGGCACCACTGAATACCTCCATTTAGAGATTTGTTGCCCCCTGCCTTGAATGGTGACAGAGGTCATGCTAGCTTTTCTCTGAGGCGTTATGTCAGCCATCTAGAATGACCTGTGGGCTTCTCTGTATAACTCGAATCACCTTGGAGTGCTTATTTGCATTTCTTCATGACAATGTAGATGCTAGATGATGTTAATACAGTTTTGCATTTTACCACAAACAATGAAAATCCAAGTTTAGATTTCTTCACCAAGCTCACAACAGACTCAATACAGCATTGTGAGAAGAGAGGACAGACTGATTCTTTATCTCTGTTTAGTGGCTGCACTAAATAGGGCCCTCTTTAAATGTGAGTATACTGCTCAGAGTCCTCTTCACAATGGATCTTTGTCAAGTCCACGGTGTCCTATGGCACAGATGTACTGTGAAGTCGCATTGCCTTCTCCTTTGCCTGTTTTCCAGAGCGACAGCCGGAGTCAGGGATTACACCCTCCACACGTCTCTCATCTATCTGTGTAGGAATAGAAAACGGGAATGCATTGTTTTCACTTGCCTGGATGTTTGTGTTTGGGAGATCACTGCTTGGATGCCTCAGTGCTGGAGAACAATGCATGTGTAAATCTTTACAGCCTTATTTGCAATGCTTTGAACCCTTCAAGTGTCATAAATCAAATGCAACTGATATCAAGAGATATTTAAGACTTCTATACTACTACTACAAAGTCAAAAGACATAACTTCAACTTTTTAAAAAAAAAAATGAGGTGTCATTTTTGGAACATTACAGATGTTCTTTATCAAAGGGACAAAGATTTTGAGTCATCTTTTTTTTTATTTTGTCTGAGAAAGTAGTAGGTTGTCTTTGCCTTAACTTCCAAAAGCCCTTGATTAACTCAAGGCAGAGTCCTGTGACTTCACTTAAGGCTTAACTTCCAAATAAGAGTCAAAGGTTGACTGAGCTCAAGATTTTGATGTAGATAAATGACCTGATTAAAAAGACAAAGAATTGCCACATTTCCAATATTCTGCCTGCAACTCAATTGGCTGGACAACAAAAAGACAGAAAAGTCATTGTTCTCAGTTCTAAACTCTGGCAACTTAAGGTCTTTTGACGTTGTAGTATAGAGCTGTACTTTCAGCTATTACTCCATCTCTAGTAGCAATATCTCTGGACATTGTTTGCAATATATGTGGTGGAATAAAGTGGTGTTTACAGTGATTTACATGAGTTACATTTACACATGGCAAACAATATATGGACATTAAGGAAGTGTTAGATTTGCGGGTAGTATCAGGGATTTTGTAACCTTTGACAAGTTTCTGGTGAACCATTTTCTCATGTCCAGTCTTAGCACTAGTTTAAGCAAAAAAAAAAAACACATTAAAGAATGAACACAAAGTATTTGTTTTATCCTCTAGGGAGCCTTATCTGGACATCTTAGAAACATTTGTTGAGACAGTATGCATGATGTTTAATCTTTATCTGGCACTGCATGCCGATAGAGTAGACTCATCAGCAGCCTCTAAGTGGAGGGATGTTCTTTTTTTTAATTTTAAACCCAAACAACAACATTCCCACCATCAGCCTGTTATGGTCCTCCAGAGGTCTTTGAAGAAAAATAGAGGGCTGGTGTGAAAGGTAGTAGCCCCTTTCAAGCCGACCCATTGGCTGTGCTGACATCAAAAGATTCCTCCAATTACAGTCAACAAATATATGCAACTCCTTGTCTGAAGGCAGGTTGAGAAAATGAGACTGTGCTCACGTTTAGTCAGAAATCAGCACCTGAGTGAGAGATCTACAGTTGTAGACTTCACGGCCAATTTCAACTGGTGGTGTCTCAGTCATTCAGCAACAACCTTTAATCTCTGTTTAAGGTACTTCTTTATTGGGGGGGGGGGGGTCAGTTGTTGTCAGCTTTTTTGTCGGTTTTTAAGCTTCCGTTCTACTTGCAAGTGTTCCAGTCACAGCTTTGAGGAAGTAGGTGCAACGTGTTATCTTTTATTTTAAGTGAGTCTCAAACACTGACCACCAAAACTTAGTGCATCATCATGTACTTTTTAAGAAATTGCTGAGAGTACCCCTTAGCTCTCAATAATGTACACACAAGGAGTTCATGCTTCATTTAATGCTAGGACACTTCAAAATTATTATTTGAATCCGAGCCATGTTTCTAATGTAACATATCTTGTGTTTATTTATTTAATTGAATTATTATTCATGGGTTAATTTCATTGTTGCCTCACTTTTTTAATCATTCAGTTGTAAGGATGTTAGAGATAAACTTGAAGCATTGCGTCTGTGTTGGCAAGTGTGCCCCTTTTAAAACATGGTGCAGAGAGATAAGGTTTCTTTACAGCTCTTCACAAGAGATTTTGAAGAATAACAGGAAGAAAAATAAAGTTTTGTCCCTTAATGGTCTCTTTGTCTTTGTGGGCTAATGTTAAGCTCTGAACAATATCTTCACTGTCAACTGGCAGTATCATCTCAGCAGTTCTCCTGGTTGAAAAGACACAGTATTTTGACAGTGACACTTTAACATAAACAGTGTGGAACAGTTACTCTTTGAATACAGAATAGCCTGTTAAAATATGAATGGCACCAAATAACAAAATATGATTTAAGAAAGTTTTGTCATTTTGCATGTAACATGAAAAACATTCTGTAAACATTTTATACAGCAGTCCTTTATATGTGGAATGTATGAATTACGACAGCGACAGTTCTTTGACATGTTATCTCAGCGATGTAGAGAAAACAGAACAACCGGCTCTTGGGTTCAATCGCTTGGCATTGGGAAAAAACTCATCCTTAATATTTTCTACGAGTGCACCGTTATCACTGTCTTTGCTGTTTGAGCACATGTTTTCTTTACTATTTGGTTGTGTAACTGATACACACATGTCAACACTGGATACTATTGTTGGCTGACTTAAGTGGATTTTCACATATAGATGTTCAACGTTGATAAGGACAAACACAAAAACAGCCATTGTAGGGCAGATTTTCAAGGACAAATGCATTGTCAAGATGTTTATTTACATTTTTTACACATATACACATCATTTTACACATATACACATCATACAGACATAACCATCACCCACAACATTCAGCTTTATAATAATCATTTATATCCTTATCTGAAGCTTTAACTTAAATATAAGAAGCCCCCATTTTATTTGGGGTCACTTAAATTAACATGCCAGATACTCGTACCAGCAATAGTTTTAGTTCACAGTGTCATTGTAAACTCTCTACCTCATTCATGTCAAGTATATCAGCACATTTAAATCGACACACAGCATAAAAGTATCAGTTTTCTTTTAAAGTAGTAAAGGAGTAGCAGATGCTGTCAGTCACATTCGCAAAAAAAAAAAAAAAATGAGTGCAAGGACTTTTCAGATTTACAAAGTGATTAAACTTTCATTGTGGGAACATGTACTGGATATGAAGATACGGGTATCATGTAAAATACAAAAAAAAGTTATAAATGACAGTTTGAGACAGAATCATTGAGGTAGAGACAGCGGTTTCTTTCTCAAAGTCATTCGAAGCAACTGCAGCATGACATACTTGTCCATGTGAGGGCAATATGTAACACTTTGTACAAAAGCCATTATGCTATTTTCACTACACATTGTTCAGCATGTGCAGTGGCCGTAGAGGACCCATTAAAAGAAACTGCCCTTATATTTTCTTGATCAAACTAAACATGATTTCCCAATTAGCACATTTATAGTAAATTAGACAGTACAGATTTTCTTGCCCCTTCGCCTAGAAACATTTTTTTTTCTGTTCAATGTAAAACTTCCACCAAATCAAACCAAATTGGAAGAACAATTTATCAATGTTGGCCATGGAGGTTGAAAGTATTGGAGCTTGCATTTAAAAAGAGTGAAAACCAAATGGGACTTTTGACCCAGGGCCAAAAATGGAAAAGTATGCAAAGTATCTGCATGTTGAAAGAGTGAGTCCTTCAAATGCCAATATAAATACCCGTTTCTAAGACAACCATGACAAACTTTTTATAATTTTACTTTTGTGAAAATTCATCACTACTGCACAGAAACAGTAAATACACATTGTCCATGGTTCCTCTCCACATAAAGAAGAGTTTTTCCCATCAAGCTATAGGATCTCCACTTTCTGCGAGCAGACCAGGTCACTGTTGACCAGATTCCACATGTGCATGAGGTCCGATGGGAGCAGCTTGTGCACCACAATCATGCTCTTAAAGAAACAAGGTTCTCGATTCAATTTGCTTTGCTTATTTTTCACCAAGCCAAACGTCTTAAAAGCGTTATGTTTTACTGGAGTGACTTGAAGCACCTCTAAACACATGCCCAGGAAAACATCATCAATGGGATAGAGCTCCAGGGTATCTGCCACCCAGTGAAGCCTCCTCGCCAACTTCCCGTCCATCAGAAAACCCCCTCCCCCTGCATACGGAGGGTAGTATTGCTTACTATAAAGAGCCTGGGGGATGTAGTATTTGTTTTCTCTTCTACGTATTGGCACAGCCCTGAAGATCACATCCCCAACAAACAGGTCCTTTGAAGGGCTGCTCTCCAGAAACTCCAAGATGTTCTCTACGCTGACAAAGACGTCGTCGTCACCCTTGAAAATATAGCGTACACCGGGGCAGTAGGTGTTGAACCATTTTAGAAAGTGAGTCTCCTTGAGTGTGAGGTTGAAGAAGCTATCGAGGAAGTCCCATTGGAGGATATCCCCATAGATGTAGTCCTCGAACTCAACTAACTTCTGATGGTTTGCGCTCTCCACCTCATTGGAGGATTTACCAATGAGGAAGAGTATCTTTATTCTCTTCCCATCGATCGTCTGCTCTTTGCCCCAGGTTTTTCGGATCACCTCTCTGCGATCATGCTGGGTCGCCACAGACTTTATCACCATAAGCAAATATATGTCCCCTTTGCACTTCTCTGGGTGGTTGAGGAGCATAGGAAAGTAGCGGCAGTGTCGATAAAGCAGGAATTGCTTGAAATTTGGCTCCAGGCTTTTGAACCAGTTGTGACTTGAGATGTTGAGGTTGGCGCTACAGTTGGTGCTGGTTACATCCCAAGATTTGAGGCGTGTGTCCTCAGTGATGTTGGGCTCCTGTGTGGTGACCCTAGATTTGGTCCCTGACTTTTCTTTGCTAACCTTCCAGAAGGAATGCTCCGCTTCATTGGACGTATCCATGCGAACCTGCCTCGCAAGTTCAAAGGGAGCTCCCATGTTGATGTTTCCTCTCTGGACAACAGTCAGCGCCAATGCGGCCAGGAAAAACATGACGCTCACCCTCTTGTACACCCTCCAGCGATCTCTGTTGTTCATTCTGGGTGAAGACAAAGATCACAATTGCCAGCCAGGGTTAATAAGGCCAAAATCATCAAACTTAAATACAGTTTGTCCAGCATAAAACTACATTGTTTTGTATCAATATTATGTTCAAATGGTATTTGCATTCATAAAGTTATACTGGAAAGCCCTATGAGTTGTTGAGGGTCTCAAGTCAAGGAGCTTAAAAATGACCAGCTGGAGATTAAACATGGGATTCAAACATTAGTAGTGGTGAAAAGTTGGACCACCCAAAAAAGTTCAAAGGAAAGAACCAAGTGAATCCCTTGAGTGCAAGTCTCTATATATGGATTAGGTTTGTTATAGGCTTGTAACTGCAGACAGTTTTTCAAAGGTAGATATTAAAAACTAACAAATATATGAACTATTCCATAGAGGTTCAAGCACATTTGGCAGTAAATGAAAGGACACCTTGTCACCACCAAAGCTTCCCACATGCTTGCATAGTCTCCTTTGGTATCTTTACTGTTTTATGTAAAGATTATTTGTGCAAAAAATAATTCCATGCAAAAAAAGTTTTTGCATAGATGCTGCAAAGTGTGTTAGACCTAAAGGCTCCATTAAAAACAAAAACAAATGAATATCTAAAATGCAGATGTTTGCTCAATGTGTTGTGGGGGCTTTCGTAACTATTTCTCTTTATATTCCGTCCATTGTTTTTACCTGATCACAGTAAGAACAAGAAGGACTTGTCACTTTTTATTGCAGGTATTTAATGTGGAATGCTCTTGACATTGAACGGTGATTATTCCCCATAAAAAAATTCTGTGAGCACACTTACCCAACACTGTGTTTACACATTTTCATTTTAAGAAATTTGCTTTCCAAATCAGCCAGTTCTTCTGATAATTAAACATACTTGAGTTTTCTGATCATGCTCTGAAACAAGGGCATAGTGGATCGCTCCAATGACAACGTATTGCAACCTAAATCATCATTTTTTAATTTATTTGTTTTACCTCACTGAGCTTACTTTCACAAGATTCACAACACCGCGTTGAGTTATTCCTAAATGAAGTCTCTCGCGTCCTTTGATATTTAATTTAGCCTTCTCTTTAAACTTTTTGTCAGACAAGCTTTAAGTGGGGTAATAACCTGTATGTTTCACTTAACATCAGGAAGCATTAAACTAATTTCCTTCAGTTGAAATGTTGATGAAATGGGCGTTAAGGTACACGTTTCTGACTTGTGCGCCCTTAACGCTACGATGCCCGTGAAAGAAACCACACCAAGAGAACCAATTTAAACATCCGTTAAGAATTGAGTCTACAAAGATAAAATGGTAGGCTATAAAAAAAAAGAGATGCATCTTACATTTTCTCTTAAGCTCGAAACTCCTCGTGTTGCTTGGAGACAGTAAAACCAATAATAATAAAAAATATTTTTAAAAAAAGTCGATTTCCAGCCCAGAAAATGGTGACGATGGGTTTGTGTTTTCTGTTGTTGTGCAAAAATAATTAATTAATCCTTTCCATCGAAGACGCCTTGTTTCAGTTTGGCCACTGTTGTGAAAAAGACGAGACTTTGAACGTTTCTTGTCCTTAACGGTGCAGCTTTGTGATGTGAAGTCTGCGCTGCTGGTTACTCCCTCTCTCTCCCGCTGAGCTCCGCTTTTAAGCTCGGCTGCTGTTACGTCGAGCACGTACACGCACGAGGCGAAGATGAATGAACAGTGTGGGAGCGAGCCCGCCCAGGGTAGAAGTTACTCCACAGGTGTAACATCTATTCACAGGTTAAGACAAAGTCAATATTGGATTTCTTTTTTTTTTTCCTTCAACATCACATAAGTCTGTGGGATGAAACAGACTCAGAACTATCCTAACTCATACATCCGTATAGTAGTCTGTAGGCTATTACACAACAAGAAGCTTTAAGCATTAAGTCAGGTCTAAATGTCTCTGGTGACATTTTAAAAGATTGTGAATATTTAACTCAGCTAGGTGAGGCAGAAGGCTCTCCGGAAGAGTTTATTTGTAATTTTCTCATAGCCTATATCTGCACCACTGCATTTATTTCTCCTTCAGCTGTTTGGGGCCAGTTAAGGAATTAGAAGAGCGAATACTGTTTGAAAAGCGGCCACATCATTATAGGCTACTGGTTTGGCAACTTAAATGTACCTACTTCTTACTATGTTCCAGAGATAGTTACTTTCCATCACTGTGGCTCCAAAGTTGTTCACATGGGCAGAACAAAAGCAGTCAAACAACATCTCACAAAACTGATTACATAAGAGAGAGAAAAACAATCCACTCTTGGTGCGATGTCCCGGAGCTGAAGGGGGACTTTTTGAAAAGAAAGTGAGAAACATAAATGTTCAGTCTTATGTTACATAACTGTTAAGGTCAAGATATAACACAAAGAATCACAACAGAAAGAGAATAAGACCCTCCAGGTAGAAGTCTAACTTGTGCGAACACAATTAACACAATGTTGCACTACCCCTCTATATACTCACACACATTAACTATTTTCTTTATGACTTAATGACTACATAACAATGAAAGCTGACTTTATTTTCTTCATAAAATTCAAAGTTGCTGATGTAACTTTACAAAGTCTTCGGCCAAAGAACAAAGCATTGTGTTGATCCCGTCCGTTATTAAGAACGATACATTGCATTACAGTTAATGTTTATCTTTGATTTTCACAGAAATAAATGTACTGCCACTTCTGCTACCTAATGTGTTATCATTTTTTTTTATGATTTTGGCCTGTTTTAGCTCTTTTTTTTTTAAATAAAAAATAAAACCCAAAACTAATACCCTGAACACAGAAGGCACACACATGGAGGAGACCAAAACGGAGCAAAACAGAAGTAAATGACAACATTCATCTGATAGATTGGATTCTGCAGACTAGAATCAGTATTCAATGAGATGACAATACATTTGCCATAAAAGCTTTATCATCAAGACAAGACGCTGTTTGCCAGGAAAATGTTCTGCACTTATATAACTTACGAAATGCAGCCCTCATTAAATATATATTAAATAGCAAATCACTGAACATCAAAAGTTCTAGTGCGAAAAGAAACAAGATGTAAAAAAATAGTTTGTTGTCTATAAGATACAATGGAAAATCAACGAGGTGGAAACAAACATCTTTTGGGTTACAGTAATATAAACCTTTGTCTTGTAGTGCTGGCCTCTGGAAACAGAGCAGCCTGAATGATCTGATTAACCATTAGAAATATTATTAGGACATACAGTGTATTTCCTGGTACGCTTCTTCTTCGTCACGTTTGATATCCTGGTGTTAATGATCCATCCCAGAGCAAACTTCATGGATTTACATCAGCTCTAAATCATTTCCCTGTCAATGTTTGATTTAGGATTTGAAACAACCTGCCAATAAAAGTGCTGCTTATCATGCCATTGATTGTTTGGATTTGTGATCCAGGAAGTTTAATGTCTTTAATAATTAAAAAAGTCTTTATGACAGGGAAAACTCATTCAAAAATCACGTGTACAGTTATTGGAAATCAAAAGAAAGTCAGAGTTTTGTATTCTCTCAACTTAAACTATCTGAGAAATCAACAAGATTCTCAAAAGGTAACGACCAAAACAGGATTTATTTAATCTGAAACACAGCTGTGATCCAAAAATGTCACCTTCCTCTCCTTCTCTCCCCATTTCCTGGATACAACCAGCCATCCTTGTCAGGGCCATGTGCATCCTGTTGCCTGCTGGCCGTGTTTTTTCCCGTTTCGAATTTTTTTTTTCCTCTCTGTGGATTCAGGCTCTCCAATCGCTTGATATGAGTGAAGTGGTGACAGACACCACAGTCGCTCAGATTTCCCTTGGCTGGGAATTTGTCACTGATGGCTACAAACTCAACTGAGAGCGATGACTCAATAGTGGTCGGAGTCAGAATATGATCTTACTATTTGATCATTTTTTAATGAACCATTATAGATACTCCTTAAACTCCCGAAAGTAATATTGTGCAAAATATGGCCTAAGATAATTTCTGAGGACCAATATACATTGCACAACAATCCACATGCACACACGTGCTATTTACACAACATACAATGTGCCTTTATATTTTCTGAATTACTCAAAATGACACAATACTCACTAAAAAAACCCAGAAAAACACACCATGCTGTCAAACTGAAATGTCCATAAAACACTTTATAAAAAAGGCATTTCTTTCTCAAAACTAAAGTCCAAAGATCAACACAAAGATATTAAAGTGTTAATCATAACAAAAGCCCACAGAATTGTTTCCCTATCAGTGGAAACCTTTCAGTCTTATGATAAATCAGCGCCGGTTTGTTAAGATAAGGTATCTGACTTGCGTAACATTTGTCGTAAATGTAAATGTACATCATTTGGGACACTTGTGCCTCCCAACATCGCTCCATCAGTGTTTCTTTTCTACCCTTGTTTTGTTTCTACACTTTCTGTTTAAGTTAATTGAAGAATGTGGGAGTCAAGGTGAGCCAAAGGAAGTCTGTGCTTATCCCTCGCTGGGTTTAACACACCTGAGAGACTTGGGAGAGGATTACCTTTGGTTTGTGCGACTCTTGACATCTGTCTGACTTGAATGAACGTGCCCTTCCTCTGAAGAAGAAGAAGAAGTGAGAGGCCCTGGCTGCTAACTCCTCTGTCACCATGAAAGAATTTACTGCTCCGAGAGAAAAAAAGATGCTTGAGGGCATTTTTAACTTCCCCCTCCATCTTTCCCACTTAACCGTCAACTGAGGATGTTTCTTTATGATAGAACAAAGTCGAAGTGATCAGGCTGTGTTATGAATGCCCCTGTCAGCTGTGGCTATAAGTAAACACCTGTCCCCTCTCTTACCATTCAAAGGCCTCATGTGAGTTTAGTAAACACAAACCTACACCCAGCTACAAAGGACGACCTTAAACACTCCCCACGGCTCAAAAATGTTGTTTCTTCATGCTTTGCTACGTTTTCCTACTTCAGTTTCTAATAGGGATTAGGTAGTGTTGACACACCTTCCTGTTTTGCTTCAAATACATGACTGATGTAGACCTTATGTGTGCCACAGGCAAGGTCACAAAAATGATATTAATGATTAACACAAAGTTATTTTTGGAAACCTGTTGAATAATTGGAAATTTTGAACAATTGGTGTAAACCTATGGATTCCAAGGTCAAGGATGAACTATTAAGCCTCGCCCCAAAAGAGTACATCACACGAGTAGCTTGAACCACGCATAAGCAATTGGTTTGATGACTTAAGTTTTGGAAATCCAGTTAGGCATTTTTCGCCATCTTGTTGTTTTGGGCGGCGCGTGGCTCACCTGATTGATGAACAGTCTCGATGTTTCAGTGTCAAGAGGCTTAAAGGCCCGCCTAAGATCCAGCTCGTAGCGTCGTTAGGTTGACTAAAAGTTAGGTTGACTGAAAGTTAGGTTGAGACAGCTTTTGTAAGCATGGTGACTTTCATTGACAGGGTTCCAAAGCCCCCTGCAGTAACCAATGGGTGACATCACTCAGGCCTGGTCCATTATTATTTACAGTCTATGGCTCATCCATAACTTCATATATATATATATATATATATATATATATTTTTTTTTTTTTTTTTGTTACCTTATTGTGATCCTCTAGGCTTTAATTTCCTGGGCTGGAGACAACAGGAAGTGGAGAAGGAACACACAGCATAGGGAAACATACAGCCGTAACAATAGAGAGGAAGATGATGAACCTTTGGAACTTCACTGTTGGCGAGAACCAGTTTTATTGTGTTTTTTTTCACAAGTATTTTAAAGTGCCAAGAACAATATACAGTTTTACCATCTTTTCTTTTTTTAAATTTTATGTCTGAGCAAATATAATCAGCTAATTAAGACTCGACAATGCTGCCTGGTGAAATGTGATAATTAGCTTTCGGTTTCAGGGCAAGCATAAAGCTGTTTATCACAATTCCAGAGAAATAGGATAGGTTTTGTTTTGAGTGTGCAGTAAAGCCACAAGGAATGCAGCTATTACAACTAGATATTAAAATGACGCAGATGATTCATCTTTTAATCTCTTCCTTCAAGATTCAGCAGCCTTTAGAGCAACATTTACTGTGTCCAACAAAACAGGCCATGGTTGGATTCGTTCAAGTGCACACAGAAAAAGTCAAGGTGCATTCACGCTAAAGGTTAATAGATCGTTTTTTAAAGGACATTCCTGAAAGGTCAAAAATGTAAAAGGTGAATTCCAAATAAGCTTTAGACTTCAGTCTGTTTGATTAGTTGCCTCTTTAACCTTATGAAAATATCCAAAGCTTCACCAAGAATGCCCTCTGTCAATATGTAATATATTTTTTTAATGAGTGCTTTCTTTTATTTTCTTTAGCTTGGTGCACTGTAAAAGAAGAGAAACTTCCAAACATGGCCTGAATGGAAAGACACACAGCTTCAAGTGTTTACAGCTGAAGTGTAGTCGTTGGGGTCAAATTTATCTGTCCGTTCTTAAGGACTGGTCAAGAGGAAACAGGAGGTTCAGGAGACAGAGCCACTGAAATGTTGTCTCTTCTTGGTTGGCGTCACCTTTTATCAGAGGAGCACATGGCTGTCTGCTGATAAAAGCATCTGAAAGGGGGTGCAAGCTATTCCGATGACAGTAGAGGATGCTCCTGTTGTTGGAGGTTTGAGCGTCTACAGGAAAATCGAATCCCTTAGTATATTTGATATAATAGCAATTTCTCACTAGATTAAATGTAGATCGAGAGAGAGAGAGGGGAATGTGGGGTTCTCAACATGGGTCCAAAGTGAGGTCAAACAAATGTCCAGGTTAACTTTATTAACTAACTCAATTTTTTATTACAGTACAGACAAGGTGAAAGTTCAACCTGATGTGAGGGTTGAAGAGCAGCCTTTTGGTTGAGCTTCGTTCCAATGCTAATAGCTGCATGCAAATACGAACCTACCTCTGTTTACACTTTCAAATGTAACATCATTAACTTTGGGAATGCTCTGGAAGAATGACAGTCATTCAAAGGAACTCGGCCATAGAGCTGTGTTTTGAAGAGTCGCTTCTGCAGATCTCAGTTGAGAAATAGTGAGTTATTTTACGTTACCATGACAAAAGTGGGTGAGGAAAAAATGTAAGCTATTCAGGTTGGGGGGAAAAAAAGGAGTTATCTTTAAAAACAATGAAAAGTTATGCAGGTTTACATTGTGCTGCTGGATAATCATGGCTGGTGTTATCTGCTGCAGAGCCTTGTTCCTATAGTTCATCTATGCTACAATGAATCTGCATTCATCTAAGACTTTCATATTTTTCACAGAGGTAATGAAACAGTCTGAAATTACTATTGACACATATATATGACCTTAAAAAAAGCAAAGAAGACCATTAGCAACAAGATTGTCTTATTCTAATTTGAGGAGATCAACAGCACTTTGCCTTTGGAAATAAATAAATGAACATGCTAAAGAGTCATTGTAAGTTGCACGTTAAACATTCTTAACAAAGATAGCTTCAGTAAGCGCTTATAGTCCCAGTTTGTGCACAAGGGTCGCTAAAATGAACCAAGTGCAGAATTTCCTGACATTAGCTTTAATCTAGGAATATGCAAACTTTTGGCAAATACAATGCTTTTGTGACAGCGATCCTCTTTATGACAGGGCTTCAGGAAGAGAAAACAAGCAGAATTCAATCAATGGCCTTCATGTCAACTTTCAATAAAATTAAAATTCTGTTTTGGAGCTTGTAGGGCTCTCGGGTTCCCTTTGTCTGCTTAATAGTCACACCTCTTAGACCAATGGTTCTCAACGGGTCTAGCCTCAGGACCCACCACCAACTCCCTCGTGAGAAATCCCAACCCGAATTTCAGCCTTTTTTTTAACCAATCAGAATTGTTCAATGAAAAATTGTGCGTCAGACTGTATAAAAGGTGACAGAACAAAGACACAAAACGAAAACAAACATGTTTCGAAGTGCTTAATAGACTTTTTGACATAATATTTGCACACATTCACGACCCACTGAAAATGGCTCCGCGACCCACTTTTGGGTCCAGACCCACCAGTTGAGAAACGCCGTCTTAGGCAAAACAATATATTCACAACTTGTCTTGATATTGTTTTAAAAAAGGTAAAATGGTGCCGCAAGGTCCCATACAATAATGAAACAAGTGGCAGTCCCCTCAGTGTGATGAAGGCACAGTAACTGTTTGATATTTTCCTCATCCCCTCGCCTGTATCTACATTTTTTGTTTTGATAGCAAGCAGCAGCTTCCTCTGTGTTGCCGTTACAGCTGGACAGAGCAAGCATGGCTCGAGCTCAGGGTTACGCGGCCACCTGGCTGCAAGTGCGTCAGTGTGTCATGTGGGGGGTGTTTCCTCACATTGTGCTGCTCTCTGGCAGACTGAAATGCTGAATGTGTCACCTCACAAAATTAGAAGAATTATTAGAGCGTTAGAAAGACATACTCAGCTTAAACTAGCGGTTTCATTTCTGAAGCATATTTATATCAGAGGGGAGTTGACTTGATCATCTGACCTGAGGGTTGTTAAAGAAATCTTTCACTGTGCGTGAAGACATGTTGACTTGTCATTGAAGGGGCGGGCTCAGGTTTTATTCAACAATTTAGGGTGACCGTGTTCTCTTTAGAATAGAATTCAGTACCCTTTATTTATTGTCTACACCCGCACTAGCTCACCAGCACAAACCTTCTGTGTACTGCTCACAAAGAAAAGGGAAAGGTGCATGTGGATTGATGCCAACTAAACTAATTTGAATTTAAACAAACAAAAAAAACATTGGCAGCTTCCAAAGAAGCATTCTTATCTTGTTGAACAGTGTGAAACATTTCCATTCAGGCCATGAAAACCTGATTATGATGACGCACAAATAAGTTCAAAGGCATGCAGCACTGTCACTGTAACATTTTTGATATAGAGTTTTCATTTACACCAAACATTCATCTATTCCTGATGAATCAAAACAGCCATCAAGGTAAAAGACACACTGCTGGAGTAAACAGACTTTTGGTGTGCAGCTTTAATGAACCTGAATTTTCATTAGGAAAAATAAGGACTTCAGCATGTAAGAGTGGAGGACTTGTAGCCTTGTCAGCTGTCAGGTGAGTTGGCAGTAGCTTTCACTTTACATGAGACCAGACATTTTCCTGCCGTGTGACATCCCGATGAGGCGAACACAAAGAATGTTTTCTTTGCACTGTGCAGCAGAAAGGCGAGCCCACAACATTGTGTGAGCACAGTGTGATGACCAATGGCTTACAGTAATTACAGAGGAGGTGATTTGTGATCAAGACTAAGCTGAGGACTTCAGCAGCCAATATGCTCAGCACGTCATCATATGAAGAAATCCAATGACGAGGTCTGTACCAAACACAGGTGACATGTCACAAGTTTATTCAAAACCACTTCAAAGTATCAAAATCAATTACAACAAAAACACATTACAGCCTAACTGTAGCATGTTGACATAAATATAGTGAACACCACCACACCTAGAAAACAGTGCAAATGTACAATGCAATCATGCTGGATTTAAGACACACAAATTCAAGTTATCTGGATGGTAAATGTATAGAAACAACAATAAGCAGTTCTGAATATCTTTCAAAAACATGCAGCAGCCTGACAACTCAAGCCAAGGCCTGAGTCTTTTTCTAAACAATTCTGGAGTTAGAACAATAGCAGCTACTCTAATATGACATCACGTTTTATTTTGAAAGTGACGCTTATACAATTATTTATTCATGTGGATGGATATTTTCCACCCAGGTCAAAAATCTATCTGCAGTGCGTATTGAAATTCATACCATTATAGATTTGTGATATCAAGAAGAGAATCAGAAAAATATCTGTACAATCAATTCAAAGAAAAAGACAGACCTAGCTAAGCGTTGTATTACTTACGTTAATTGTTCAAATTAAAGAAAGATTATTAAACCTTAGTGGGCTTAGGTCTGGACTTTAAGGATTCATCACATCTGTGAGTCTCCGTTTCACCCCAGTGATGCTGAGGTAATGTAGAGGAATGTGCTTATGCCAGAAAACCACAAAGTAAGATGGAGAATTGAGAAGTATCTTGTTTTCACTTTGAAATTAGAATATACACATCTTGTAAAACATAAACTTTGCCTTGTCTGGAGGATGCTGCACATATGAAGGTGTGCCAGCCATCACCTGGGGGTTGTGATTATTGTCTGACTTTAGATCATGTTGCAGAAGAAGTCTGTGCTGAAGCAGAAAGGGAGGAGGGGGAGGAAAAAAAATGCAGGACGACAATCCTTCACATTGTTCAGTCCCCTCCTCCACCTCCTTCTCCTCCCTCTCCTCGACCATCTCTGTTGCTCTGACCCTGTTTGCAACCTGGGGGGATGATGTTACAGGAAGCCTGATGCTCCGGGGGAGATAGTGCTGTACCATGGTGACAGCTCCCTCTTCACCGCCTCTTCAACTGGCTGCCTAAAGGCGGGGAGACAAGAGGGAGGGAGGCCGGGGCGATAAAGGAGGTTTAAAAAAAGCAGATTTTAAAGTTTTTAAAGCAATTACGAGATTTTTCTGATGTGTTTTAATGCAAAACAAATATATGTGATAATTTTATTATTGATAATAAAAGAGATAATTGGAATCAGATGAAATTATTTTTAAATTGAATATTTTCAGATGTTGTTTTGCCTGTTGAAAGATTTGAATTTTTTGAGATATGCAAAAACTGTTGACCTGTACATTACTTCTCTGAGAAGACAGCTATCACACATCATCAAGTTTCAACATCAAAACTCGGATAATGACATGCTTTCCAAGTCATTGTGATGCCACAGTAATGCTCGTGCATTCCTGTGTTCAAGTGAGATTGAAGGTGAGAACCGAGAAACTTTCTCCCCTTCAGCAGAGGAATGTAAAAACAAGAGTTCCAGAGTTTTAATAATGCGCATGAATCATTTTTTATCTCGAAGGTGAAGTCATAATAAGCAAAACCCATTCTATTAGTGTTAAGTCACTTTAGATTCAGCATTTCTTTCACAGTAAATTGAAACTTCTCAGGTAGTTTTGTGTGGCAGGGCCCCCCAACAACGGAATATTCCTCACATTTTATAAACTACTACATTTGAGCATGTCTAATCTTGTTTTCATATTTTTGGGGTTATTCTTTCCTTCCTGGTTTGTGAAAAAGAAAAATAATCTGATTTCCTCATCACACTTATCATTCAGGGCCACAGTGTGACAGTCCTAACAACTCCAACTCCTCCGCTTCCTCAGGCAGCACAGCAACCTAACAGGCATCTCTCATCGCTTCCATTCCACCTTGTCAACATGACTTGAGCAGGATAACGCAGATTTTTTTTTCCATCCCCTCAACATGGAGAGGCAGCATCAGCAGCAGCTCCTTTTCCATGTTTGTATTGTCAGACACAAAAAGGGCTGCTCTATCTCCCCACAGCCAAAGAAGCGTCTCTCTCAAGAGGATCCTGTCTCAGCATGCGGTTTGTAGTCTCTCTCTGCAGCAAGCACTCAGGCGTCAAATACAAGAAATAAAACAGCTTGATGGTCAGCAGAAGATGCCTTCCAGAGAAATAAATTAAGGGACAGCGGATCGATTGAGTTAGCGAGACAAAAAAAAAAAATTATAATAAAAACTTAAAATTCTCACAGTAAAAGAAAATGAATACTTTTATTTATTTTGCATGCAAATCACTCTTTAAGCAAATCTACAATAACTTGACGTCCTTACGAGACAATAGATTTTAAGATAAGATAGGTAAGACACTGGCCAGACCTCGATTCATAACAAACAGAAACACAGGAGGAAGTGGTAGCTTGGACTGACCATTAGCTTCTGTTATACGATTTATGGTAAAGGAAGCTGGTGTAAGAGCCGGAGGTAATCAACCATCAAATGCAATTTAGATGAATGAGAGCATGAAGAGATTTTATCTTCCAACTAAGAGCACTGGAGACGCTGATCCGGCCATCTTCTCTGCACAGACTCAAGTTAAATACTTAGATGTGAAAGAGACAGCAGATAAATAAGTGGTCAGGGTTTGGGATGGGCTGATTGATATTGTGTTGGGAAACAATAAGTAACAATTTGTATTACGGTATATGTTTCTTTGGATCTGGTGTAGCCTTAAACGGTCGAGCTTTGATATCACACGGTCCAAAATCTAACCTTTAAACGCTATGGATAACTGTGTGTGAATGAATGTAAGATTTAATGTGAGGTAGAAGTTTTAACATGGTTATGCAAGAGCCTTCAAACAAAGAAATGGCAGATTTTGTTACAGAATTCTTGTTAAAACTCAATCATCCGTGTGTAACTCAAGATGTGAGCTCCAGGGAAACTGGAGGGGGATTTGTCTTCTTACAGCAAACACCAGCTTTGTTATTGTAAGACAGCCTTTTCTCACAACTGCGTTTAAAAGTTCGGGTAAAACCAATTTGTAAGGAGCAGGTACTGATGGAAACTTGGCAACATTTGGGGGAAACAGTAGAGGGCTGGATGATGATCAGAGTGGGGATGGGCTTATAAGATCAGGCTTTCAGGGCATAAGGCCAAACACAAAGAAAACCATGAAAGAGTTATGATAAGTTACGCTGTCCTATATGCACTTTAAAACAGTTGTACTGATTTATAACAGGCAAACCTGTACCCTCTGACTGCTGGTGAACTTCACCACAGTGCACTGTTGTTGGCTTTGTTTTAACCAATCGCTAACATTGAGGGCAATAACATGAACATGATTTCTTAATTTGCCAATTTAATTACCAACTCTGCCTTTAATGTCCGTGATGAGCTACATATGGGCGATTTCATTGTGCTTATTTTCATTGTTTTGAGATAAAAAAAATGTCACAATGTAAGCATTATCCTGTCAATGCAAGATTTGTTACATATAATCCATACCTTTAAAAACAATTGAGTGTTTCTAAGCCCATTTCTTTTTCTGAGAAGAACTGGACCCCAAATCCCTGCTGGTTGGTTTGAAAAAAGCGCTGTAGAAACAAACAAAGTAACCAGGCAGAGCAGATATTTGCCCTCATTGGCTGTCACTGATGACTGTATACTAACTTCCACTCTGTCGTCCCCCTCCTCCTCCTCCTCCTCCTCCTCCTCCTCCTCCTCCTCCTCCTCCTACAGAGCTGGCAGACCCAGGCCGGCTGCTCTGCTGTGGCTCCGCCTGGGAGAACTGGGGTGCCAGAGTCAGACTCCGAGCCCGGTTAGCACTGTTCTGGCTGGCTGCTGAGTCAGGTGTTAGGGGACTCTTGGGCTGGCTTTCAAATGCAAGGCTAAAGTCCCCCACTGATAAATGAAAAGAATAAAAAGCAATAAAAGATTAGTCTTTGATCCATATAAATCACAAATAATACATTGGTGCCAGCCTTTTGAGAGAAGGCAATAACTGTCCGTTATCGACTACTTTTATGACTCACCTGCCTGAAGGATAATTCAGAACAGATCTCATTTCACTGAAGGCTTTTATAGCACAAGAATCATTGATGCTATGTAATAGATCAACCTTGTATGAGCCCCTTGCACTGGACACAACATTTATGTCATTTGTCTCAGTCAATCGCCTCCATTTCTGACGGAAGCGTGCGAAAAAAATCGATTTGATGAATACTTTAAAGATACCAGGTAGGGAGAGCTGTCAATCATGCCATCGATACTCTCAAAGTTCTTCTGATTTTCAGTTACTCTTTAACTCTTTTAAGGTTTAGATACTCCGACAAATCTAAAAACAAAGCTAAGATGTTTGAAATGACAGCCCCTGTCCTCTACTTTAAGGGTCAGTGGTTTAGTCTCCATCAGCTTATCCTTATCACCCCTGCAGTTTTGAATTTCAGCTAACAAATCATTGTCACATTATTAAAAGGCTTAAAAAAAGACACTGAGGTAAAACTTTGTCCCAAGAATGTTTTCATGATAACTGCATTATGCACATTCATGTAATACTAGCACATTTTCACACATCTCTGGTGCATCTTTTGATACACATCAGATACTATTTTGCAACTTGTTTACGCGGACAGTAAGCCGTGGAGACATGCCTCACTGTGGAGCTGAGAGGGAAATCTGTATTCACGTCCCTGCGAGTCTGAGAAACAGGATCACAATGAATAAATGAGTCCTCAACCTCCAGTCAGAAACAGAACAAGGTCCAAACTCTGCTTACGAACGTCTCTATCAGCCAGGAGCCAAGTGAGCCGAATACTATGAAGCAATCCTATACCATAATAGACGGACGGATTTCAGTCGACTTATTCTTGTTTCTACCCACAGGAGCCACATTGGCTACAACATTCCTGATATCATCAGGTATAACTGAATGTTATAAACCATTACAACCTTGCTCATTCACCCAAAAATTAAACGACAGGAATACAAATAAAAAATAGAAAATATTATAAATCTCATTAATGCTAAGATTCTATTCATCTGAATGTTTTATTGCTGTTTTTTATCCTTCTAATGCCCCTTGTTTATTTTTTCCCTTTTTTGTGGGATGAGAAAGTATCTGGTTAAACGCATTTCCTTAGATTGACGGTGCACTATTCTTTAATGTATAATACAAAAAACCTGAATTGAATTGAAATGAATGAGTGTGTCCTGAAATCTCCCTTTCACTTTGAAAGTCTCCAAACTGGCTTGAGATTTGGAAGTCTGTATTGTTGAGAGGTGTTTTATGCTCCTGTGGGGAGTCAGGAGGGATAACTCAGGCGGTTTCCTGGGACTCATTACCCTTGGCGGGGATTTGGGAGTCAAGTTCCTCTGGGATTAAAAGGAGAGGAGAAGCAGGGGAGCTCTGATTGAATGGGTCTCTTTGTGGGTGCTGCTCGTTTAAACGCATGTCACAGTCTCACCGACCAGCTTGGCTGTGCTGAGTCACCCGTTGGTGTGCAGCAACGCTCCTGCCAAGTCTCTCCACAAAAAAAAAAAAAAAAACACAAACACACTGACATTCACCTCAGCTGACTTGCACTGTTTATGTTTTGTCCACCCTAACAGCCTTACTCTGGTTCAACACCTTTTATGAGATGTACCGTAGATTCTTCATAACAACTCACCAAATTAACCTGCAGGTTGAGGAGTCAACCGTGAAATACATCACCTTCAATGTAATATCTTTGAGTTAAAAACCTCATTCATGCATAATTATCAGTAAACTTTGTTGCAACTAAAAAAAAAAAATGCAGCAACATCAAGAAACTCTCTGTGTTTTAGCCTTTAAATTACATTTATGAAATAACGCAGATTCTCCTTTATTGGGTTTGTGTGTGTGCGTACGGTCAGCATATGTGTGTCAGCTTACCTGGCAGTGTGTCCGTTGTGTTCCTCCTGGGAGTGTCCTTTTCTGGCTCGCCCTTCATATGGCCCTTCCAACTCTGACTCCTGGGACAACCGGCCGCATTCAGAGTCTGAGTGTGTGTTTATAAACGGGATAAAGAGGAGGACGTTCAGCACAGCTCTTAGGGAATAGTAACATGTTATCTGGTTCTTAAAATTGAAACTAAATGACAATCAGCAGGTGGAAGGGGAAAGCAGTCCCACAAATATGCAGCCACTCAGTGTGCACAAAGTGTGAGTAACCCCTAAACCTCTCATGAACAGCTGCTGTATTTGTTTTATTAAGGTCAAATGTGTATTCATTGACTGCACATTATCCTACTTCTAATCATCAACACTGTATTCATTTATGTATTGCCTCCACCCACCGATGCTGTGGCGTAAGGAGTCAGCGGTGCTGGGGCGACTGCCAGAGCGTGAAGGAGGTCGGGAGTTGTGTCGGGATGGTGGGAGGCTTCCTCCCTCGCTGGATCGATAATCCCTACGCATGAAACACACAGTACAGCTCAGGTTTGGGAAGATCTTGAAACAGAATACTCTACATAGGTAGAAAAAATATTTTTTCTTATCACACCTCAGAATCTTGATCTCGATCACCGTGCTTTTACAAAACTCTTGTTTGTTATCTTAAATGTGCTGTATAAATAATGATCTGTGGTAGGTTATGAAACCAGTTATTCAATTGAGTTTTGAAGCTCCCTTTTGTCTGGAACCATGTCACGTTAGAAACATGAATCCAACGTAGCTACTATAATATAATACTCTGTTTTATCCTTACAGTCTAGCTTACCAGTTTGTGTTTTTAGTCATGTGCCTTTCGTTACTAACGGGTTCCAGTCTCTGCGTGCTGACTCATTGACAGATATAATATAGTCATGCTTACCAATGACCTACTGAACTGGTTTTAATGGGCTTGAGGGTGAAGCACATTGTCAAAATGTACTACGAGCCACCTGTCCTGTTGTAAACTGATCTGCCTTTTAAAGAAAAGATTGTGAAAAGTAAGTGTAGTATTCCCTGGAAGTTTTACAGTATGCAACTAAATCACCTTAAGCAGGAAACGAGACTGATCCTGCACACTTGCTAATCCAACAATCACCACAACATACTGTAGAGTGTCAGCTTCAACATGAACCCTAATGTGGACTTCACACTCTGTGGGTATCTTTACTTACACTGCACCGACATTGCGATGAGAACTGGGGGTGACTGGCCGTTGCAGGGGTTCATCAATGCTCGTTCGCTGCAGAGGGCTCGTCTTCCTCTTTGATTTTGCCATGTTGGTCATAATCTACAGAAGCATACACAGACACACAATCTCACACACAAGAAAATGGATACATTTTTATACTTCCTTTGTCAATTTGTCGACTTTCTTCCAGCTCTTGTTCACAGCTGTTCTTGTCCAGCTTATGGTGATGGAAATTGTTTAATGATTTAGTAGATAATGAACTTTTTGATATACTAATTATTATATCTTATATCATGCTTTCATGCTGCTTCAGATGCATTCTGTTTCTTCAGGAGCCATCTTGCATTGACATTATCAGTTCCTCTTGTTGCAGGAATCATTTCCTTTACTTTCACAGCCACCAAACCCTCCACAAGAACACAAAAAAATCTAACAGCTTTATTTTGAGAAGTGAATGTGTCCGCCTAGCAAACAGTGACATTTATGTCATTGTACAGTGCATGGTGAGAGTGTGTGTTGTGCTCTTACTCCAAGGTACTCTGTTGTCAGCAGACTCTCCCCACACAGTTCCCTGGGCTGCGGTTGGAGAACTTCCTCTGTATCGGGGTCTGCCTCCATTAAGTCCTCCTGTCACATGACAAAGTCTACGTGAGTAAAGTGGCTCAGTTATTCCGATTTTTACAACACAATCAAATAATGAAAACCACACCTCTGATATCATACCCTGTGCTTTGCTCCTGCCACTTTAATGAGAACAATAATCACAACCACACACAAGCCTCTGAGGTTTGTAGAAATCTGTTCTTATGTTGGATACAGTGGTTCATTAATGACTTGACTCAATTCAGGAAAATGTTCACAATCCCATTGATGTAAGGTTAACAACTGTAACATGTTAAACAGTGTTGGCACCACGACACACGGTTACCAACAAAAGACCAGTGTAGTCTACATAGTGTTACATATATCACTTCACCATTATACCCAAGGTAAATGGATAGCAGCTCCTAAAAACACCTCATCCGAGATCAGAGGCAATGGAATAAGGGCACTCGCACTCCTCTAGTCGTTCCCCGCTTTAACTTACTACCATATACATACCTTATCTTGATAACCCACTTTCCCACAGTATCCAATCTGCCAGGCCCATCACCCTCCTAACCTCACATGCACATGCACAAACAAACAGGTGGGAGACACCCAATATCTGTGTCATGCTGAGATTGCCATCTACAAGTTTGGGAAAGGTGTCAAATATGAGGTGTCCTTTTCTGGCTGCCCTTCCCCTCACCTTTATTTATCATAACCATTCCTGCTTTCTTTTGTTCACCTATTTCTGTTAATGCATGGCAAGAGCTGTGATTGAGATGATTTAGATGAATGCCTTGATCAAGGTGGAGGGCATGAACCGTTTGAGCGGGGGACTTACATCGTTGTCGTCCTCCTCTTCTTCATCGTCTGACTCTGGTCCCTCTTCTTCAGCTGGACGAAACACAGGAGCATTAAATATGACAGACAATTTACAAAAAAAACAAAAGCAGATGGTGTCACTTATTGTTTCACTTTGTGATATCAAATTCTAAAGATATACAGTATAAATGTACACAACACATCATAATTAAATTAAAGTACTTTGTTTATTTAATTAGTATTTAAGTCATATGTTTAGTACTTCACTACAGTGAACTACGGTTAGTAACACCTGCTGCCCATAATCCAAATGTAGCCCAGTTTCACTTTAAGTTTTTTGAATCTTACATGTATGCTCATGAAAAAGCAATTTATTTAGTGGCTTTATCTAATTATAAGTGGTGCTGAGGAAGTGGAGTGTGCAGGATTATCTCTTTTCAAGACTACCGTTTTATGTCCTACGCACCTACTTCATGAGATAGTTTGATGTGCGAACAGCTGCTTGAATCATTCTTACATGTACATAAAGAGTTAGTTCAGTCTGTTTTCATACAAATCCATAAATTAGAGAGTTGTGAGAGTGACTTCGGCTTCACTGACCTGAGTTCAGCTGTTTAATGATGAACTCAATCTGTCTGTTGAGGTCCGGGTTCTCCTCCTTGCTGTAGCAGCGGAGGATCTCCTCTACACTCTACAAACATGGGAGAAAAACACATCCTGTCATGTCTTTTAATCGACATCATCTTAATCACGAGTTTTTCGTAGTGCTCTTCTGCCGCTCTAAATGTCACTCAGCGGTGATTCTGGAGTCTGTTGCGCCCCTCCAACCAAAGTGGTTTTTCCCAGAAATAATGCATGAGATGCTAAGCAGGGCAACGAGAGTCAAACTGTTAGATGGGGCCCCCTTAGGGAGGTTTCCTACTGTCACTGCAAAATTTGCACATTTTGAGCAAATGCTGCGTTTAAAATGTTTTTTTGGCCTTAAGCAGTAAGCCTGCAGGGCCTCTGATTCCACTGCATCATAACTTGAATCAGTGGGAAGCAAAGACACTGACTCAGCAGTCCCTGGGTACGGTGACTGTGTCATATGACAGTTAACACCTGCTGTTTCCCCTTCAGACACTGCCTGCGTGGTGACATGAAGAGACAAATGTGAAGCGACAACACAAACTGCGTCTGTTTCCTGTGAGCAGGTGAAGACATTGCAGCTATCTTACCATCTCTTTGGCTTCCTGTCTCACAGAGGGAATACACAGGATACTGTACAGGGCTCCATTCACGTACGGACGAATCTGAGGAAAGCAAAGCGACACAGACACAAACAGCCTCTATATTTACACCATCTTAGGCCAAAGTTTGTTACACAGCTTGCATGAGCGTGCAGCAGCAAGAAAAAAATGGTTACAAAGAGGGAAGACTGCACTTCAGGCGGATATTTGAAAGATACTCGGTGTGTTATTTTATGTAATGCCATAAAAATCCAAGCATGTTGAGATGACTTCTTAAAAACAAGAGTTAACTACCCTCCAACATTGTTGACAATGACTCATTTTTATTGAGACTGCCCACGTTCTGGAGGGCATGGTACACTTTACACCAAGCCTAGATGTGTCTGATATGATCACATTGGTTCTGAAATTTTGGTTTAACAGATTAACAGGTGGCAAAGATTCAAGTTGATTCAAGTTTTTGGTTTTTATGTTTTATCCTTTTCAAATCACACTACAGATGTTTTGTGCTTTATTTTCACATTAATGTTTATTCTGTATCTCCAACTGTTTTTAGGAATCAGTGAGCAAGTCCCTGAACTGCATGTCTATATACGATATGTATGCTGCATCAATTCTTTTCAACCTCTGATTGTGTTCTGTGTGGAAGTGTTGACAGATGTATCACCTCATGGTTCTCGTGTCCAAGGAGGTCAGTTAGAACCTTTAGCACATGCTTGGCGTTCTCTGCACACTTCCTTTTTCCTGCACAAAGACACACACAGTCAATCTTTTCCTGGTTGTTCTCTGAGATAACAAGATCCTGAATAAATCAAATGCAGTGCAGAACTTTACTGCTGAGAAAAAAAGAGCCCCCCACCCAGGCAAATGAGGAGAAGACACTCCTTAAGAAGTAGGGAGTGACTATGTGCATGGTGTGTATGCGGTTAAGTGAGAGTGACATGAACAAAGACACACTCTACTTATGATGTAAGAGGCTATAAGTAAAAAAAGGAGTGCATCCATAAGCCCCATGCTCAGGAGAAGCTGTTAAAGCTCAAATACGTAGTGAAGGTAAAGCCAGACAATACTGGCCTCCGCTCTGCCCATAATGAAATTATCAAATGGGAACACAGTTACACAGAGACTTTCTGGGGGCTTAAAGATGTAAAATTGATTTATGCTGACATCAGCACTAAAACTGAGCTCAGCTTTTTACCATAATTTTGGGTTGCACCTCCATGACACAGGATTACACGGCAAGCAAGATATACAGTTTTGATATATTTGAGGACCATCTTCATGAGTTAAGGTTTAAATGTGTGTCAGAACTTATCCTCAGAATAGGCTTTTAAGGTTCTATCTTTTACTAAAATACTATCAGTCTCTTTCCTTTATCTACTTGACCCTTGACTTTACCTTTAGTTCGCAGACACAGGTTCATGAGCAGAGCGGCAGCGTACTCCAGCGTGTAATCGCTCAGGCAGTCTGAATCCTGCAGCTCATCCACCAGCCAGCCAATCAGATCGTCTGCGATCATGGGGGTTTGCTGACTCCTCCTAACAAAAGGATGTATTCAAAAACCAACTTAACAACACTTTTGTGCCAACAGGACAGGGATCCTGTTTCATGTGGAAATATTTCAATAAAAAAAAAACAATAGGGCAACCCCAACGGTTAATCTGAAGATGGAATTGAATCAGGAATCCAGCTGGTTGGATAAAAGAAATGAGACCATTTAATGCATGATTCAAATTGATTCAATAACCTGTACCCTGTGTATGTTGAAGTAGTTTTGTGAGGCTCTTTATACCAATCCGTCGTGACATAGTTTGCGCTATGCCCTGCAGGTTATGTGTTACCCTTTAAAGAAAATTGGACTTTCAAGGTTTCATAGAACAACTTGTCATTTCAGAATGTACCTGAGGCTGAGTCTCTGCAGAGCCACTAGCACATTCTCTCTCGTCAGAGATTCTTTTTCCTCTGTCCTTAGTGCCTCCGTCAGAAGTTTCAGTAGAATGGGGGTTTGGGAAAGGTAAACACGACCTGTGAACATTAAGAGAAACATGGGGTTAATATCAAAAGGCAATACATAAGCCTCATCCTGTAGAAGAATTCTCTTGTATGTATGAAGTTACTTTAACAGTGATTCAGCAAATTGTCATCCTTTTAAGGTTAACACAATGAAGACATTCTGAAAAGATGTCCAAACTATTCATTTGTTTTGAGAATGATTGTAATCACTCTCTTAAAAAGTAATGTAAACAAAACCAGTTAGTTAGTTAGTTAGTTAGTGCATTATAAAAAGTCATTCCTGCCAGCACCAATGATACTAGTCTTTACAAAATGTCCAAAATGTTACTGTCACTGTGATGCAGATGATCATTAGAGGTCAACCTGGATGTGGTGATGATAAAGTTCCTCCATGAATCGACGTCTCCAGTTGCACTCAGTAAAACAATGACTCCTATTATAAAGAATAATCAATATGAGAGTTGAGTACTTACCCTCTGCTAGAGAAGCGAATGCATTGATGAGGCGAGCCATGTACTGGCGGACGATCTCGGACTTGGATCTCATTAAATGAAGCACACTTTTCTATGAAAACATAATATCCAGTGTAGTTTAAAAACATTCAATTGCCTCCGATGTAGTAGTTATTTTTTCCAAAATGACCATAACTTGAAGGCAGACTTATAAGTGATCCAATAAAAACAAAAAACTCCTCTGTGGTCTCAGTAACTGCTGTGAATCCAACAGTAAAAAGAAGCTTAGTCAGCTCAGACTCCTTTACTTGATGTTCTTGTTAGCAGTAACATTATGCCTCTTTTGTTGTCAAACTGAACATTCATGTTTTGAATTTAAATCGGCATGCTAATACTATTATAGTGGCGTTCTATGGAGGTTTTATTTAGAGTTGGCTTGGAGCACTATATTCAGTACAAAGACAAAGAGCTCAGGTGTGAGGTGAGGCTCACTTACTCCTTTCTGTAAATGGTTTATGTCCTGAATATGGCGCCCTATGGCTGGAGGCTAGGAGAAGGAAATGTGACAAGAAAATAATGGGGGGGGGAAAAAAGACAAAACAGTAAAACATGTGAGAGAGACATGTGGCTCTGAAAGTATATTCTGAGGGTGAGTTGGAATATAATCTGTTTTGTATAGTCGTTCCTTTTGTAAAACAGAAAAGGGAAATTGCTAAAGAGAACACATCTGTCACTCCGGGACAGACAACATGTCATGTTACGTCTCCAATCTGGTTGTAGAGACGTGATTAAAATGATAACAACAGTTACAGTAAATCAGATAATAATGTGGGGAATCTGGTGTCTGTCTAAATCTGGTCGGGATTTATTGTTCAGTCATTGATTAGAAAACCACTGTACAGAAAGAGTAACTCTCGCTTTTGTAAACACAATTTGATGTCTGACTCTTTCAGTGCTGACCTTGAATAACTATAATACTCTTTTAAGAGTTTTACAAAAATAAAATGCTTTATTTCAGTTTAATCAAAGTTTTTAGGGACTCAATCTAAGGAGCTTTAATTTAAAATCCTCAAGAGACACAAAGGTTGAGGATAACTTTGTGATAATCATTTATGAAAACAATATGATAGAAGCATAGAGTGGATTTCAGAAATCCTAAATCTGGTTAGTCTGCAGGTTTGAGGCGATGGAGGGTGAGAAAAAAACCCTGGGCAGCAAAGAGCCTACTCAACAGCTCAAGCATGCCTGTAGTAATAAGCACCAAGGGATTAATTATAGGCCGTGAGGGTTAAGTGTGAGATGCTGATTTTTGCCTTTGTTCTGAGAGTTGTACTAAATACACCGAAAAAAAAAAAAAAAATGACTGGCATTTCAGTATCAGTAGACATTTTAAGATGAATGTGTCATTGTGACTCATCCACAGAGTTAAAACACATCAGAGCTGTAGTCATGTGGTCCCACCTGCTTTGTGCTGTAGTGCTCCAGCACGTCATTACTGATATAAGCCTGGAGCACCGTGTCTCTCTGTTCACCCGGGAGCGAGCGAGTCAGTCTCTAAGATTAAATCAAAAGAAAATTACACACTAGTTAAGACTCAAACAAGTAGAGATGCAAATCAAATAAGAATCTTATTCAGCTCTACTTTAGGTTTACAAGGTGCCACACTTCTTGTGTAGAAAGTCCAAAATCAAGGCTCAATATAATAACACTGCTAACTTGTAGTCTACAGTATAAACTGTGAGCTGTTACTGCAAATGTTCTCTGTCCAAATATGTTTGTTTATAAGAAATATAATATCTGACAAAAAAAAGCAGAATAAAATATTTTGGTTTTTGCTTGGATAGCCCGTCTAGAGGAACATGGCCTATAACATGAACTGTCGTATAATTTCTTATAACACAACCAACATAACAGTGTAATAGTTTGATACAGTGAGGCTCTACATGACAGTGGTGATTAACAAAAGCTCCACTAGGGGGGGTTTCTTGGATTTCTGTTATTTTGATGCCATTTCTCCTCGATGCTCATTTCAGAAGATCCATACTGTTAAAATGTTGCTTTAGATGTAAAACTTCAGCCCTAAATGGAAGCCGGACAAACTCAGTGAAACAATGAGAAAGAACCGCAACAAGTGTGGATTACAGCTATAACACAGTGCATGCAAAACAAAGAATCAGTGCATGACAAGAATCAGAGATTATGACTATATTGTACAAAGGAATATTTAAACTCACCCAGCGCAGAGCCTGGAGCAGCAGGGACCTGAGTCTGTCTGGACCTTCACACAGGTCTTTCTTCAGCTTCACGTAGTCCAGTGAGGGAAGCATCGGCACCTCCTTAGATCTCCTGGAGATGTTAAAAAATAAAAAAGGCATGTCAGCCGAGTTGTATGATGGCACTGATCAAACTGTAGCTTTAAAGTGAAGACTTACGGTGGTGCTATGGAGGCTCGTAGCATTGAGGAGGCCTAGGAAAGAATGGAAAATATCAAAAAGAGAGACAAAGATGGTTTAACACTTCTTTCATTACACTCTCACTAAAAAGTGTTGCTGACATAACACATGCTGGCGCTGCTATTCATCTTTTTTTCATCTTTGCCATCTGATCCCTGGACTTACCTGGAACTATTCTCCATCTTCAAAATAGTCAAGTTAGCCACAGTCTAAATAAGTCATTAGTGTTGTTGTTTTTTGGACATGCATACATCATGCTTGTGGTACATGCTGAATCCCCTGACAATACTTTACAGCATGGTTCGGCATAACCCCCATGCAGTAAGTTACAAGCATGCTAAGCTAAGTCAGCTATGATAAAGTATTAGAGAGGGCAGGTTAGTGTGAAACAGCCATTCCTTCATTTGTTTCAGTGTACTTTAACTCTAGGTCTATTTGTTGTTCTATTAGAGAGAAAGAACCTGAAGCATCTGAAAATAGTAAAATATAATTGTGTTTCTCCTGTGGGTGTGTGGAGGAAGGGTGAAACAACTAATCACTAGTAAATAGTAGTTTTCTGCTATTGAAAAGGGAGTTTCGAGCCCTGAAATCTAATCTAAAGTGTGGGTGGTTAGGCCTATAGCCGGAGCAGTCTAAGGTCAGGGGAGTGATCCGTGTCGTCTGAGCTATCAGGTGATGAGGCCACATTTTTTCCTTTGAGGTGTAGTAGCTAAAGCGGAAGTGGAGGAGAACACTGATACCTGGATTCATTCCCAAATTCCTTTCTCTCCCTAAACATTTCAGAATGCTGAAGAATGCTAAAGGGCAAGGGAACATGTTTCCTTGAGACATTTGACACGGGCGTTCCTAAACCCTCGCAGAGCAAGCCTGTGTTTCAGTCTATCAACAGGAAAAGCCCCATTGCTGTACGGGTACAAAGAGAGGTGTCAAACAAACTGATTCACCTGGCAGATTTTAGCTCAGCTAAACAAAAGGCTTGACCTGAATTCTCTGAATATGCACAGTTTACATAAGCGATGTCTTTAATCTCTTCTGCTTTTAAACGTGTCTTCTCACCATTTACTCTTTCATAACAGGGGGGACAACTTAGGGCTGCCTATTGTTTAAGTAGACAGCTCTGCTCTCTGTCTCCTATAAGTCTCCCCCCCCCCACCTGAAACTGCCAGGGTTAACCTTAAAAGAGAAGACTGACAGCCAATAAGGAGCGCTGAGAGTAGGAACAATGGCTGCTGCCTTTGAGAACTTACAAATTTAATGATGAGGTGCGCCCTGAAAGAGAAGCTCTTGTTTGGCTTAACAAGTGGTCTCACAAAAGAGGTCATTCTTACAACAAACGAGGCAAAACATCCCTTTAAACTGGGACGATTCCAGTAGAAACCACTAGAAGATGGCAGGGAATAAAGGCGAAAGAAATGTATATCTGCAGTTAAGGAGAGGGAGGCAAACATGACAAGGAGAGGATGAAGAGGAGAAGGAAGAGACATGGGGGGGGGGGGGCACAAGCAAGATGAGGGGTGGGAACCTTAGCGATGACAGGAAGTAAAGATGAAAACAAATGAAACTTACATATCCATCATCATAGGGACTCATAGAGTAATATCCCTTTGTGGACAAGAGCATCACACACACAAAAACACAAACACACAGAAAGATGTTTTTTCAGTTTAAACAGAAGAAACAAGATTACAGAGAGCAGAGTTCAACAGCTAAATGGAGGCAACTGACAGCAAGCATGATTTATTGGCCTTGAGGATTTTTAGAAGCTCAACTAAAAATAATAATGAAAAGCTCATCGGTGCCCAAAGTAAACTCTGTAAGCATAAAGACGTGAGCACTCAAAACAAGGTGTCTTCCTTTGTCTGGAAAGTCACCAGGCGATTATTTAAAAAAATTTGTCTGCTGACAAAATCCTCTGGGCTTAACATGTTCCCTTCCTTCAGCTGCTGTTAGTATTATTATTTTGAATTTAAAGTGATATATTTTTGTTGCTAATATCTTAACGTCTGCGAGCACATCTCCTCTGGCCTACAACAAACCATTCAGCTTATTTCTATTCAAAAGAATATACTCAAAGTGACATTTTAAAAGTGGTTGATCGACATTTGCATTTGCGTGCCACTGGTAGTAGAAACTGGTCATGCCTTGTATTTTGAGTTATGCCATGTGAATTTAGCTTGACACTGTATGACCGAAAAACCAGGATACAGTCATCTTTTTTTCCAGGATACAAACTGCAGGATGAGTACTTAACTCAAAGTCAATGCACAGCTGATGGCAAATAAACCCTCCCTAGAATTATTGTTAAACACAGAGTCAACTTTGTGTGACGTACAGGATAATGTATCTGTGACGTAAGGAAGATGAGAGGAGTTTTTCTTTGCAAACATAAACCCTTTTCACACATACGGAAATCTCCTGAAAAACTCAGGAGATTAGGCTACACGGAGGTTCTTTAGGCTATGTGTGAACGCAAACAGCCACATTTTTCGCGCAGACTTTACCCGGAGTTTATCCACCCAGACCCCTAGTCTTTTTTCCGCAGAAAATCTGCGTGAACTGATGTCTGAACGCGGCAGCATATACTCCGGAGGTGTCAACTCAAGCCGATGGAAAGAGAATGACATTTATATACAGTGACTTCCCCAGAGTGTCTGCATTATGTTCTCTGCTCGTCAGTATGTTGTTCTCCACTCTTTTGTGGATGTTGTCATTCCATTGGATTACACATAGCATTGATATAAAGGCAAATATTCTCATTATAACGTCGTGTAGCGGACTCTGTTGCTATGGCTGCTACTTCCGCGTTGTTTATTTACCTCACGTCTTACCTCGGGAAATCCCCCGTGCCCCCTCCCCTCTGACAGGGTAAGTCCCCCGCTGTGAGGAGCATATGTGAACGGCTAGGTCGGGAGAATCTCCGTAGAAGTCCTCCTATAAATATCTAGATATTATCCGGAGTGCATATGTGAAAACGGCTAAGACTGTGGCTCCAAAGTGACCATGGACTGATGCCCCCTTCTTGATATTTCCAGGGAGGGCCTCAAGGCCTTGTGTTATGTCACTCTTGTACCTCTGACGTGTAAAGGAGAAGCAGGGAGAAGAGAGGGATCTACATGCTCTAACTCACAGTGCCCGGTCTGGTGAAGTCAGTGCTCTGCACCACGCTCTGTCTCATCTGGCTGCTGAACAGGCGAACACACACACTCTGCAGGTACTCAGGGGAGATCTGCAAAAACACAGCAGGCCCCTTGAGCTTTAAGATACTGTGAGGACGCCATATTGTTTTTCTGTAAAGCAACCTTGTTATCTTGTGTCAAAGTGCCCAAGTACATATTTAACACATCACGTGTTTCAGATCTACAGTACATTGTGTGTATAAGAAGTGGGTTTGGTATTCTAGGTATTTGCATACAACTATGAATTTGACATATGTGACTAAATCATGTGCTTAATCATTTGAGATGAGTGTGTGTGTGTGTCTTTGTAGTCTGAGCTTGTAGCCCATGTGTTAATGTGTGTGAGTGTGTTAGTGTATTTTGCAGAGTTACCATTTTTCCGCTGACAGTAGCCTCCAATGAGTCGACCAGCTCAGCAGTGATTCCAATCAGGTTGTGGTAGTCGGCCTGCATCTTGTTGTACTTCCGTACGTAGCTGGCGGTGCGCCGGTCTGATTCGACGAGCTGGAGCTGTAACTGTTGAATTGTGTCTGTGCCGTCACACATACACACACGGACAAGGGTACCATAAGGGACGTTCTACTTTGTAACTAATGTAACTCTTTAGTGTTGGTAAAAAATTATTGAATAGAAAAAAAAACATTACATCAATATTTTAGATGTTCTACCGTTACGGTTTCATTGACTAATTATCGTACAACACCCGTCTTGGGGAAAAAAATAGCATCACTTCTGTCCCCATGATTAAAAGTGATCTACCACTTACAAGAAATTGGCAGTTTTATGCCAACCAAAACATGACAAAATATGACATGATGATGAATGATCCTAATGATATAAAGTGATGCACTTCACAAAAGTTGTGGATTATTGTGACTTTCAACCAACTAGACATTCATGTGGAATTATATAGTCATATTTGCATAGTGTGCAGTTAATAAAAGGAATTTAAACATGGTGGATATGATTGGATGGAGGTATATGTATCATAAATGCAACACAATGCAAGATTATTGGAGACGGATATTTACCTTTAGTACTCCTTCCTCCCTCCTTCTGTGATGTCCGTCAAGGAATACACAGTATCATTGACTTCAATATTAGGAAAAGATTATAATGTCATTATTTTCTTATCTAACGCGGTCATCCAGAGCTACATACGCACAACTTTAATTTCGTGAAGAGATTTAAGTGTTGACATAAGATCAATGTATGTTTATTTTAAAGGGACGGGTAGTTTTAGCTCTATAGAAAACCTTGCTGAGATAAAACAAGGCTTTCATTCATTGTGTTTAAATGTATTTAGGTAGCCAGGACACAGTGGGACATCTGCAGTAAGATTCACATTTAAAGATTCTAACTGAAAGTTAACCTCCCCATTTTAGTTTAATACATAGTACATACAGACAAGACTTCTCTGAACAGCCCATGAGATGATCATTTTCACGTTGAACTGCTCTGATCATTGGACCAGACGGGATAGGCTTTAGTTTCATGAATGTGCAAAAGTAAAAAGGAGAGGCCATACGCTGACTTTCCTGTAAAAACAACAATTCTTGTTATTCTTTATTTGCCCTTTAACTCTGGAGCGCTGAGTTAGTGCCAGATTAGGTCCTGCCGTATTGCAACTACAAAGATAAATCAGACAGCATTTGTTTGCAGTAAATGGCATGACCAGATCTGGGCAAAAGTCAGACTGTTAATTAATTCTTAGGGAACACACAGAAAGACTTTTTATTTGAGATTTGAAAATGCAGCTCAGACTGAAAAGGGAATAAACACCAACCTGTTTTCTTAACTAGATTCTGTTGCTTTTCCCCAATAGCCGATAAATAATTTTAAGGAACATTTCTAGAGACATTGTCTCTATTTACGAGTCAACAAAACTGTTACTTAATGTTCTGGCCTGTTGTAAGCCCCTCTTTGTAAGGGCTGCCAGGTGTTGGAATCAACACAGTGAGGCACTGGTGATTTAGTAGGATACCAAATTTGTAAAACGTTGAATTCATTAATCTAAAAAATTTAAAATTTTAATTCCACAATAGCTATATAGCTGAGGAGAAAATGTGTGTAATCTGTAATATAAAAAGGGTTTCAAACTGTTGTTTTTGATGCTCATATGATGTCACAGAGAACTGAAAAGACATTGAAAAAAAACAATATCACACATTTGTATTCTAGTAGTTTTCATAGCAGCGTCATGTGAGCAAATCATGATGAAGGATACATATAAGTTCAGCAGCCTCGGGGTGTTGGACGGCTTTAGTGTCACCGATAAGAAATGCTCCAGCTTATCCTTCAACTGTGGTATCCATGAATCCTAAACAAACATAATGAGGGTTGTGAGAAAATATGATTATACTCCTTTTAAAGATGGTACTGGGTAAATAGTGCTACACATGTAGGAACTACATGGTAACAAGCAAGTATTCAATGATCCATAATTAGCCATGTACCTGGAAAAGATCCTTGAATGAAGGGTGGACAGTGGGGTTAGGAACGAAAGGCAAGGCATAGTAAGGCAGAAACTTTGTGGTCTGACTTAGTGCTGCTCCACGAGTCTCCAGGTACTGCTTGAAGAAGGAAATCCTCTCCTCAAACTCAGCTCGGTCCTACATACAAATTGAGTCACCGATTTAATTCAAGTTTATAGAAAATGTCAGCTGAGTCCATTGTGTTCTTTGGCAATAACATCCATATAAATATGTGCAATACTGCATTGCCCTGTTGTACATGTGTGTCATAGAAATTAGAAATGATTGTGCCTGTAATGCAAAGGGAAACACCATAGAGAGCCAACGGCGAAAAAAGCTTGCAGCACAGCTTAGTGGACATCTTGAATAATAGCACATAATGATAGCTGCAAGGCATAGAGGGTTGCAGATATACTTTTGTTTTGGGGAAAGTCTCAAAGAAGTTAAAGTTGTTCCAACACAAATTTAAACAAGATTTTTTTTTTTTTTTTTTTTTTTTTTTATTAAATCTACTTACATGTCTGCCTGGGTGCCTCCTCAGTGGGTAGATGGTGAAGTGGATGTGAAGGTAGAACTCAAGGCTCTGGGCCTCAGGGTCTGTGTCTTTTACCTCAGAGGGAATATTTTCCGTCCACAGTTCGAAGAACACTTTGTGGTCTCCATCATCAAAAGAACTCAGGAGATCTTTCTGAAAAGGTCCAAGATAAGCAGAGTGTGTAAGGGGAAAACAACAACAATTTTATTTTTTTTCATAATCATTTTATTTTTAAAAAAATCAAACAATAATGATTGATTATTTACCTGAATGTTAAGAGTCTTGTAGTCTCTGAGAGCACTTCCCTGAGGCTTTGACACCAGCTTGCCTTTGCTTTTGCACTCCTTGTCGAAACTATGAATAGTATCTTCAAAGTCTTCAAACTTAAGGAACTATAAAAGACACAAAACAAGCAGTGGCATAACTCCACTTTACCAGTGTAGTGTTATTCATAATCCAAAAACAAATCTCTATCACAGGAGTCTCCAACAGGTAGCTCGGGAGCTACTGGTAGCTCGCGGGCAGGTTTTCAGTAGCTCACCTATAGGTTGACCGACTGTGTTAAAAATAAAAGTAAAAATCTGACGACGGTAAATGCACCTCTTCCCACTATTCATATATTTGGCCTATAAAAACAAGAATGAAGTACTAAAGTTTTCTCGGACATTGATGTGAAATTAAGATTATTGATAAGCATTGTCTTATTGCAATTTTACACATGTACAAACAGTAGCTTAATTCAGCTGAGCTGTGTAAATAAATGCAAGCGATTTGATGCAAGTCGCCCTTGGCCACTTTCATTTTTTTGAAAGTAGCTCTCAGATGAAAAAAGGTTGGAGACCCCTGCTCTATCATATCAACCAGCATATTTGAGAAAGTTGTGCATCTTTCAGTTATACTTTTATTGGGGCTCAAGTATGATGCCCGGTGTGCAATCTCAATTATTATTTTTTTTCCTTACCTCCTTTATCATCCCAAGAAGATCAGCCTCAGTTGCCAAGATGTCCCCCATCCTGTCAGTCTGTCTGGAACACATGTGTGTCCAAAAATCTCTCCAACCACCTCCACAATGTGAAACTTACATTAAATGAGCTTTTGCACTTCCAGCAAGCATGCTGCTGAGCACTGCAGGGATAGGACAGCAAATGGCACTGTTAGTGGCTTGATAAAAAAAAATTAAAAAAAAGTCCAAGTAATCATCTTCTATCTATCTAAAATGTTAAATGCGAAACGATTAGACTTTAAATAACCAGTTTTTCAGATTCTTACATTTGGGAGCGTTTAATGCTCAACCAGAAAACACGAAAGTTTAATGTTTACTGACATTGTATGCCACTTAACCACAACATTCAATTACTGCTTTTGAATTTTACCATAATCTTGAACACTGAATTGAATAATCAACTCTCCTCTCGTGATAGCTTTCAAGCTAATCAGACAACGTTTACTGATGTCAAGAGAGTCTATGAATATCATTCTCACCTTATTCGCGCATTATTTTCTTGGCGTTTACGTGTCCATCTCTCTTGCAATGTGTTTATCCATAAACGAAACAAAGACAACGCATTTTCGTTCAGAAGTCACAGGCTTCACTTACACGACATTCACAGGTAGCCATTAGCTAGCAACCGTACTCAGAGAGGACGCTAAAACACCTAGCAACCAAACGGCGGAAAACATCAGACAGTAAAGCAGAAACAAATGTCGTAAGAATTGAAACTGAAAACAACGCGGTTGGCTCATAGCAGGTCACTATTCTGATATATTTTAAAAGGTTTCAGAAATATACTGTGCGGTATTTTTTTTTACTCATAATTTTGATTATTATTCACAAATTGGAAAGAACAATTCGCCTGACTGCTTTTAACATGAACATTATTTATATGACTAGTTAGCAGCGTGTTTTACTTTTCGACCGGAAGTAGTAAGCATGTCAAAGGTTGAACACATTGTCCCCTGCGCGGTATTCTGTATCAAGAGTAATGAATGAAGTTTTACTCGAATGAGATTCCTGTCGAAAAATACAGACACGTTGGCAAAGAGAGAGAGAGAGAGAGAGGCAGCGACTGTGGCGTTTTACTGCGCACAATATAATAAAAGAAGTGCATCTCACCTGAGGTAAGCTGTGGGGGATTGTGTGCTTAGCAAGTGAGAGCTAACAGCTAGCCAGCTGAATAGTAGGAGTTGTAAGTAAACGTAATGTTAAGAAGTGATAGGTTAATTAAGCATGGATAAAACAATGACGTTGAATTAAAGGGTTATAACAACAAATATGGTCTGGAGTTTCATTTGTGCTGCAGGGTTTTCATTTCTGTAGGTTTGGTGGGAGAAGCTTTGTTGAGCTACACTTTGCTTCTTATAGATAATGTTTTAGTTTAGGAATAAAAAGTGCTGGTAAATGTGTCTATTGTTACAAAGGCAGCTGTCAATGTGATCTGGAGATGCATCAACATTTTGATTTACTTTGAAAAGTTGAATTTGTTCAAAAATTAAGAGTGTTTTTGTCATTTTTAGCGTCTTAATTTTATCCATAAGTGTACTTCTTTTCGGTACAAGAAGGTCTTCCTCTTGTGTTTGTGATCTGTCTTTGCAATGCTAACTTTAAAAACACAGCACACTACGTGCAACATGAGCATGCCTGTTGTTTTTTATACTGACTGAATTATATCTACTTCTCAATTGCTTTGCATTCACAGACCAGGACAGAGATGGCTGGAATTTTGTTTGAGGATATCTTTGATGTGAAGGACATTGATCCCGATGGCAAGAAGTTTGACAGAGGTATGTAAATGTTCTTATTAATAAAAGAAATCAGGAAACAGTTAATATGTTATTGCACCTCTAGTTTGTGGGTCTGGTAGCTGGAGAGGTGCCAGTCCACTTGCCGAGGTGCCCTTGAGCCCCCCCACCAGCTCAGGAGCGCCCACTGTGGGCAGCCCCCTCACTCTGAGACCTCTCCATTAGTGCATGTCCATAGGATCCTGTTTGTGCATGTGTGTGTGTTTCGGCCTATGTTTGTGTAGCATGTTTACTAGACAGAGTGTAAAAACGAATTTCCCCTCGCGGGATCAATAAAGTATAAAATTATTATTATCATTTACACAAGATGCGTATTGTATTTATAATGAGAAAACATTTTCAGTCTCTATCGTATATCCGGTGTAGTTTTCAATGTTAATCCGTGAGTTTAAAAATGCAAATGAACTTATCCAAATTGTGATTTGCCGTTTCCTGCAGTATCTCGTCTGCATTGTGAAAGTGAATCTTTCAAGATGGACCTCATCTTAGATGTGAACATTCAGATCTATCCCGTTGATCTTGGTAAGAAGCCACTCTTTTGTCCATGTGTACCATAAATTTAAGCAAAAGATTGTCACCCATTTAACTGTTGGCTAGCATCACACTCCAAATTCAACTTGTGTGTAACACGTTCAGAGATGGGCATATGGGGCGCTGGTGACGCAGTGGTTAGTGCGCGCGCCCCGTGTATGGAGGCTGTCGTCTCAAGCGGGCGGCCCGGGTTCGCATCCCACCTGTGGCTTCCTTCCTGCATGTCATTCCCCACTCTCTCTCTCTCTCTCTCTCTCTCTCTCTCTCTCTCTCTCTCCTTGATTTCAGACTCTATCCACTGTCCTGTCTACCCATTAAAGGCACAAAAAGCCAAAAATAAATCTTAAAAAGAAAAAGAAAAAGAGAGAGACAGGCATATGATAGTTTTGGTACAATCACTTTTACCTTCATTGTTTGACTTTTGTTTACAAACTCTGACATATGTGAGCAATGGACGTAATAACAAATAATGAAGACCTCTATCCCCTCACCCTCCATATCAGAGTGTTACATAAACCAACTGTGTTTGTACTCATTAAGGTGACAAGTTCAGATTGGTAATTGCCAGCACGTTATATGAGGATGGAACACCAGATGATGGAGAGTACAATCCTCAGGATGACCGGCCATCTCGGTAAGACATTCCTCCCTTCACATAAAGATGTAACATTACAAACAGATGCTATGAATCGGCCATATTTTATAAAGCACCTATATGTTGAATGCAGTGTTTTCTTCTTGTTGTGCTTTAATTGAACTTGGCTTACATTTACAGAGCGGACCAGTTTGATTATGTGATGTATGGAAAGGTTTACAAGATTGAGGGCGATGAGACTTCAACAGAAGCAGCCACGCGCCTGTGAGTGACTTTGCTTCGTTCAAATGAAACTTGACAATGTTTTACTTATTGTGCTCTCCCTACAAACAGTTTGCGTTATGATAAGTAAGCTTGCAATTTTTGTAAATCCATGATGAATGAATTGTTAAATTGACCACTAAAACATTTAATTTAATATTCAACAAATTGATTGATGTTAGCAACAGATAAATTATACTTCATTTTAAATATGTTTTGGTGATCAATTAAATGCTTTTTCATACTTGCATAAAGTGTTTCTTTGTGTGAACTGTCTATTTTTTTGTTAGTTTACACTCTATAACTGGTTACCATTAATCAAGTTGCATGGATGTGCTTCTTCTTTTAGCTCTGCCTACGTGTCTTATGGCGGCCTCCTCATGAGGCTGCAGGGCGATGCCAACAATCTTCACGGCTTTGAAGTGGACTCAAGGGTCTACCTCCTCATGAAGAAACTGGCTTTCTGAAACCCAACTCTGCTCACCCCACTTTACCAAGTTCTTTCAATTCTACAACCAACGGTGAAGTCACACACAACTGCAAACGGACCACATTTTTTTTTTATTCCCTCGACTGGACACATTACACATTTCTTTCCTCAAAAGAAATGGACTACAAATTAAAGACTGCAACGCTGGAAAGCTGCTGCAGCATCCTCCATCTGCTGGTGAACTGTAAATAAAGATTTCTTTTATACAAAACGATTCTTGTGCAGTGACCTTGGATCACACCGTAATCAGTTTGTTTGGACATTTTTATTCTTTTCACTTTTTTTCTTAAACCTCAGCAAATACAAAGGTGCTCTTTCGCAAGTTGTGCAAACCTCCTTTCTTACTTGTTATCATCAAGAATGGGGAGTTCCTGGTTTACACGATTTCTCAATGTTTGGACTGCAGGCAAGCTGTGTGCTACAGAAAACAGGGCAGGGAAGTGATTTATAAAGAAACGGATACTAGCTGAGCTTATAGAGAAGGTAATATCATGTTAGAAGTTCTAAAGAGGAATTAATTCAACATTTTTACACTTATTCCTACAACCTATATTATGAAGTACTGACTTGTCTGGCAAGTCAGTGTCATAGACTGCAAATATTACGGTCAGTATGCAACCCACAAGGATTTAAATGCAATACACAGCTTAAAATCAATGTTCATTTTAAACAATCAACAATTTGGCAACAAAACTAAGCTGGTTTTGATCTGCTGGCTATCATCAAAGTGAAAAAAGAAGACCTATAGAAAATCAGAGGTCTAAGATGATTATGCATGTATAGTTACTGAGTGGCTGAAACTTTTTTTAAGCCTTCACTTCTGGCAACTATCTTAGCAATTTCAACGTGCCAGCTATGTAAAAAGTGGACACTCAGGAGATATTAAATTACGAGTGAAGAGGCAGCTTCTTGTGTGCGACACAGACTTCTCTGTGTGTGTGTGTGGTAATGGCTGTCACAGGGTAGGGAGGAATACAGTTGATGAGTCACACAGGAAAGCTGTATACATTTTAATTCAGGGAAAAGCCTGCAGCTTTACTTGGGAGAAAGAACAGCAGAAACACCGTGATGTTAAAGAAAGAAATCTGCAAACCACAATAAGTTATTTCAAGAAAATACCCAAGCTTGGCGATCAATTATACATATTGAATTTACATTTCTGTGTTTTTTTTTTAAGATAATGTGTGAAATGTAACATCTTCTGCCTAAATGCTTAAGGCTGAAAACTCCTGTCAGAGTGGATCAGCCTTTAAAACATCATTTTCATTTAAACACCAGTGATCAGACTGATAGGTGTTTGTGCTTGTGATCAATTATTTATAATACTGAGCAGTTTGCTTACACAGCCAACAGGCTATCTTATCTCTTAAAATCCACTCATTTTATCTGGTAAATCAAAAATAAACCTGCAAACAAAGATTTACCAAATCACATTTTTTGAATGCCCATTCATTTAAACAAACATTTTCATCCGACACCCGACACTTGCACACGAATGTTGTGATAAAGCCAGAGTTCAGTGCGTGGGCTCCGTTCCCATATTTATTTCAGTCCGCCGGAAGTGATGTCGGTGAGATTTAACTGCGCAGGAGCGTCGCGGGGACGTTCCCTTTTGCAATGTTTGCAGGACAGGATTTGTGTTTTAAGCTTTACCTGCTCACACAGTTTACTACGCTTCACGGGTATGAGGCAGAAACACACGCAGCTCTGTTTTGACTATTCCCCTCCTCTCTATTGCTGAGACACGTTTAGTAGGCTGATATGTTTGCGCCGCTGTCTGCATTCGCTCTAATTGGAAACACTCCTCTGGTGATTATGTGACAGCTTTCAGTGATGATGCGAGAATGAACATGCATCTTGGAGAATAATGAAGACGGTCAGAGAAAAGTAAAGCAAGAAGTTTCCAGCAGCCAAACGCGATGGATTACCGACAGAAAAAGAGGTTGACATTCCTTACCATAGGGCTGTTGTTTCTTCTAAGCGGGATTGAATATGGTAAGATTTATTTAAGGT